TTTTGGATATGAGGAGCAAATGTTGGCACACATAACCTCAGATTTTACAAGGTTCGCCTGTGAGCCCAACACCATTGTGAATAGATTGAGTTCTTTGGTTAGGGTGATTGCTGTTTATGGGGTCTGGTGCCATTACCATCAGGTTGTCTGCCAATATCCCTAAATTTACAGGTTTTGCTTTTTATTTCAGCTCCCTTGATGTCAGGGAGCTGCCCAGGGTCGAATTGCTATGGGTTTCAGAGTCAGGATAAATAGGAAGGGAGACAGTGGGCATCCTTGTTTTGTGCCTTTTTGGATTGCTGTGGTATATGAGTCCATGCTGCTGGTTCTGCTATTAGATATTTCCATTCCAAACAATCAAAGGCTTTGAGGATGTTCAGGGACATGATCATCAGTGGGGGTTTGGTTGTTTTACTGTGTTCAATCAGATTCAGTAGTTTCCTAATGGGATCTGTTATTTTGTGACCAGGGACAAACCCAGCCTGGTCTGGGGCTATTAATTTGTGTAGGAAATTTTTTAGGCAGTTAGCCAAGATTGATGTGAATATTTTGTTAGTCTTGATTTATCAATGAGATTGGATGGTATGATTCTACTTTTGAAGGTATGTATCATGGGAATTGGGGTTGCTTGTGTGTAACCTCCGCCTGCTCCAAACTGCTTGATGCGGTTGCTTTTCCCCCCGGCTGAGCAGCCCCCCCTTGGGCACGACTGCTTCAGTCGCTGGCAGAATCCGTCAGTGGGCGTTTCCTAAACTTCCTCCAGCATAAAAATTCCTTAACGGACAGCCTCCTTCTAGCCTCTCTGCGCGGCAGCCTTCTGCGCAGAGTGGGCGTGCCTATCGGTGGTCCTCCACTCTGCTCACTGACATCACTAGAAGAGTCTCAGAGCCTCCCCTCCGAAAGGCTCTCAATCCCTTCCTTCTTCCTTGCGTCACCTTGCCTTCTTCCCCAGCGGAAGCCCTCTCTACCCCTGTACTGGTTCCCTCTCCGGCAATGATTGGGGAGCCTAGCCTCTCCACTCTGTTCCGATGTCAGTTTCCTGACAGTATGTTTCAGTGGTTTGGGGATAGAGACTGTTTTGGAGGAGGTCCAGGTTTTATGGATGGGGGCCCCTTTTATGATGTCATTAAATAGGCTGATCATGTAAGGAATCAGGATTTTCTTTGAATTTATTGTAGAATTCTGCTGTAAAGCCATCCAGGCCTGGAGCTTTGTGTGGTTTCAGGTTTTTGAGGACTATTTCCTACCGGTGGTTTACCCTTACCGGACTTCCTGCGCAGCGGGCAGGAGTCAGATATAGTCGGGTCCAATCAATGCCTAAGCCAATACCGCTCACATTCTGAAAATTCAATAAAGTTGTGGCCAAATTTGCCCAATAACATAAACCTAATATCCGTGTCCTTGTGTGAGTTATTTCTCAACGAGGGGGTGGCTGCAGGGTCTCGACACACAATGAGGGTTTGCCAAGCGTGCCTTCCTCTTAGCATGGTTCTCCCTTGCATCCTGAGTTCAAGTGTCTTCAAAGCCCATGACACCTTTGGTAAAGGCTGTTCTCCAACTGGAGCACTCGCAGGCCCGTGTTTCCCAGTTGTCAGTGTTTATACTACATTTTTTAAAGATTTGCCTTGAGACAGTCTTTAAACTTCTTTTGTTGACCACCAGCATTATGATTTCCATTTTTAAGTTCAGAATAGAGTAGTTGCTTTGGAAGACGATCATCAGGCATCCGCACAACATGACCAGTCCAACAAAATTGATGTTGAAGAAATCATTGCTTCAGCACTGGTGATCTTTGCTTCTTCCGGTACACTGATATCCGTTCGCCTGTCTTCCCAAGTGATGTGTAAAATTTTTGGGAGACACCGTTGATGGAATCTTTCGAGGAGTTGGAGATGGCGTTTATAAGTGGTCCATGTTTCACAAGCATACAGGAAGGTTGGTAGTACAATAGATTTGTAAACAAGCATTTTTGTTTCCCTGCGAATGTCCCGGTCCTCAAACACTCTGCACTTCAGTCGGGAGAAAGCCGCACTCGCAGAGCTCAGGCGATGCTGGATTTCGGCATCAGTTTTCGGCCCTCGTGGAAAGATAACTGCCCAGATAGGAAAAGTGATCAACATTTTCCAACGTTACACCACTGAGTTGGATTTGTGGCGCTGCAGAGGGGTTATTTTGTACTTGTTGGTGCAACACTTTGGTTTTTTGGACGTTGAGTGATAGGCCAAGTTTTTGTAAGCTTCTGCAAAGGTATTTAGGATGGTTTGGAGGTCATCCTCTGAGTGTGCGCACACTACGTTGTCATCAGCACAATGAAGCTCTATGACGGAAGTTACTCTTTGCTTTCAGCCTGCTCAGATTGAAGAGCTTTCCATCTGTTCGATATATGATTTCTACCCTGGTGGGGAGTTTCCCCTTGACAAAGTGTAGGATCATGGCAATGAAAACAGTGAAGAGCGTTGGGGCAATAACACAACCCTCTTTAACTCCTGATCCCACTGTGAATGGTTCACTTTGAGAGCCATTGTTAGCTGTGATTGTTGCTGTCATATTCTCATGGAGGAGCTATAATGAAGCTATAAATGTAGCTTAATCCTAGTGGTGAGCTCAGTAAGACAAAGCCTGTAGAAACCTAGTTTTCAGCTCCAGCAAAACAGAGAGATCCTGAGAAGCCACGTTATAAACCAGGAACTTAGATTAAATCCCAATTTTGGAAAAGGGGTAAACACAAAAGAATAGTCAGCCTCTGCTAATGTAGTTCCAAAATGTACAGGCCTGGCTAGTGGGAGAGTCAGTTTGGAATCAAAAAGAAGCTTAGTGTTTAGATTTAAGTCACTGTAAAATCAGACTGGTGTAAGTTTCAGCTTTTAGTTCAGCTTAAAACCAGTTAAAAGCCAGTTTGGTCCGCCCCCTGCCCCCACCCAAACTAGAGTATAAGTTACAACTAAAAAAATAAAATACGGGTTGGCTTGCACTTTTAAAAGCATCAGTTCAAGCCCAATGAAAGCCTGGTTTAATGTTATCAAATGCAGCATATAAGTTAAAGTGAAAGAAAGTATGTGCTCCACCACTGAACTAAGGCCAGTTAAATTACCTTTCTACTGTCGTTCCATCTGCAGGTGAATACTTTTTACAGGGAAAAAATGCTCAAAGATTTCTTCTGGTTTTCAATACAGTGGTGGCATCATCAGACAGCAGTGGCAGCTTAGTCTCAGAGCTCCTCATTCTGCTACATAAAACGCAGCCATAGTACCATCTTAAACCTGAAAGAGAGAAATAAAAATCTAAATGTCTTAGTTAGGATACAGAGCAATCTTATTTTGAAGTTTACAGGGCAAGTCTTGAGCCCCGAGACCTCCAGGTATAGGGTGGCATATAAATTCAAATAATAATAATAATAATAATAATAATAATAATAATAATAATAATAATGGAATACAGGTGAACAACATGACTTCTTTTTGTGTGGCCAATGCTTCCAGAAGTTGCCTTGTTCATCCATCCCAACATAGTTCCTACCTTCACATTTATCTGCTCCACCTTGTTCCAGATTTTCTTATATAGTTTCAGATCAAATGGAGGTGGCATATTTTTTTAAAAAAAAAATAAAATAGCTCAATTATTTTACTTTCCCCCAATTATATGGTTTGAGTGAGAACTGTTTATAGAAGTCTGACAGCAAATCAGGAGGCTCCTGCCAGATGTGTGCAGCAGTCGTGGTCAATGTGGTTCTGCCCTCTTGAGAGCTGCACTGCTGCTGCTGCTGCTGCTGACCTGGATGTGGAGGCAATGAAGCTGCGACACCAGAGATGCCATTTCAGTTGGAGGATCTGGAAAATCACATGTGCCACTTAAAACTTGGGGCACATGCAGTAACAGTTTTGGAGAAAGGGCAAAACATGATTACATTCTTGACCCAATAGTTCTCCAATCTCTTACCCAATCTCAAACTTATGACACAAGATTTTGAAAGAACTCAGGGCAATCTATCTCTTAAACTACAGGATGCATCTAAGTCAGGCTTCTTCAACCACGGCCCTCCAGATGTTTTTGGCCTACAACCCCCCATGATCCCTAGCTAGCAGGACCAGTAGTCAGGGATGACAGAATTGTAGTCTCAAAACCTCTGGAGGGCCGCAGTTGAGGAAGCCTGATCTAAATCCTAGGATAGGGGTAGGCAACCTAAGGCCCGTGGCCGGATGCGGCCCAATAACCTTCTTAATCCGGCCCGCGAATGGTCCGGGAACCAGTGTGTTTTTACATGAGTAGAATGTGTCCATTTATTTAAAATGCATCTCTGGGTTATTTGTGGGGAATAGGAATTCGTTCATTTCCCCACCCAAAATACAGTCCGGCCCCCCACAAGGGACAGTGGACTGGCCCACAGCTGAAAAAGGAGGGGGGCGGCTTTTGGTGCCCACCGAATCTCCTCGTTCACAGGCTTCCGCGCCTGTGATTTTAGGGGTCCCCCGCTTGCCGTAGCGGGACAGACCCGAACTCGCAGGGCAGTCCTTCTCCGGAGCTCGGAAAAAGGACCGCCATTAGCGCTGGCACGACCGGAAGTCGATTGTTTATATTTAACATCCCATTCTTACTTCTTATGACTACAGGGTCTGTACCATAAAGCAATGTCCACACTGGGATTAGGGGGAAGCGGGAAACTAAAGAAGAATTAAAAACAGGACTTAGATTTAAGGCTCAGATTGTAAGTCCTTACCTCAGAATCTAGCTTTAAAAAGAAAATATGAGTTCTATGATTCACCTCTGTTTCAAGGTTAACTACGAGCTTTTTTTATAACACACATCATATGACCTCCTGAGCATTAGTTTCACATGGTGAGCAATGCAAACACTGCCTTTGGTCCGGCAAAATGTGTCCCCTCCCCATCTTTCTGCAGGTTTTTGTACAGCTTAGCTAATGGCTCTACCACCTGAGTTCAGCTCTCAGCAAATGAAGCTTCCTAACGCTTTTCTCTTCCCTCCCTTCATCCCCTGCCATTCAGGCGTGGAGCCCTGACCAGGAGCGGCCACAGGTGAAAGTCCAGAAAGTCCAGAAAGCCAAAGAACCAGAGAAAGCCACACTCGGCAGCATCACCCCCTCCCAGAGCAGGTGAGTCATCCCCGCTCCCAATCACAAGAAGTATGGGAGGAAGCAGCTGGAAACTGAGGCTGAGTATACACCGTACATTCAAAGCACATTCCCCTGCCGTAAAGCATCCTGGGATCTATAGTTCATCAAGGTGGTAGGAATTGCTGTGAGGGGTCAGCAGCAGTTCCCAGGATTCTTTGCAGTGGTGGGAATGTGCCAAAATGTGCTTTAAATATATGGTGTGTCTCCATCCATGCAATTCACCCTATTCACAGGCAGTGAATTTGGGGGGCATTTTGTATGTGCGCTTTAGTACCCTGGTTTAATACAGCTTTACTAAAGCATGGCTTTACGGACTGTAGGGATAGCAACAAGAAACAGCCAGACACAGCAGCTCCACCTTAATGTTGTTTGGCTCCAACTCCCATCAACCGCAGCTAGCACAGCCCACAGTCAGGAATGGCGGGAGCTCTAGTCCAGCAAAATCTGAGGGGCTGCCTGGTCTCCATCCACGACTTGGTGAGTCATAGGGGGGATATTAATCCATAAAGAGGGATACTATGCACAGTGGTGTACCACTGTAATGGGCACTGGAAACAAGTCCTGGGACTGAATGAGTCCTAGTACAGACTTAGTCTTTCTTTGGCTGCGTATGTGCACATTACCAGCTTAAAATGCAGCTAGGCTGTTCTTTTTCTCCATTCCGATCAAAGTTGGTTTGGAGGGAAAGACCTCAAAGCACAGCATTTCATCAGAAATGGCAGCACAAATATGGGTTGTGGCTAATGTCATCATGTGTACACCACTTTCCAAACCGCTGGGTGCAGAGTAAACAGGAGTGTTCACACTGCCTCAAAGTTAGTGGCTGTTGACAAAGGGTTTCTTGGAAGCCCAGGATTCCTTTGGCCGCAGGGCACACTTGTCTGCCTGGCCCTGAAAGATGCTTGGATGACTGGTCCTTTAGAGCATCTCATAATCCGTCCATGCAGAAGATTTTTATTTATTTTTTGAGTGCACAAAGCTTAAATTGATCTGATACGAGAATGTAAACGGAGGTCAGATGGGAGGCATTTGCTTTTTTAAAAAAAACAACAACAACACAGCTCTTCCATGTGCTGTTCCATGTTAACATCACTCTCCTGTTGGCACAAATAACCAGGAGACCAAAGCAGAAGAGGGCTGCCAAAATGATCACATTCCTTCCATGAGGAACGCTTACGCATCCAGGGCTCTTTAGTTCAGACAAAAAGAAAGCAAGTGAGGGAAACATGACAGAGATGTATAAAACAATTCAAGGTGTGGAGAAAGTAGACAGGGGGCGGAATTCTTCCTCACAATTCTAGCACCCAGGAATCATCCAATTGTGTGTTCGGAGCAAGTTTTTGGGCAGATTTCTACCTTCTTAATCTTTGGAGCCATGCCACTAGTGATCCAAATTTGATCAATTCTGGTCCAGGTCATCATTGCTTGGGAGAAAAAGGTTCCCTCTTTCTCCAGAGGGTTCCTTGTTCTCCATATATCTATCAAATCCATGTTTTCCGTCATTTCAAAAAAGGTCTTAGGGAGTCTCCCTTCCTTGGTAACTGTTAGTCTTTGTGCCTTGTCCATGTTAGTGGAAACCACACCGTTCATGTCTCCCATAATTATCATATTGTAATCCAAATAGTCCGTTAGAGTTTCATGAAGTCTCTTAAAGAAATCAGATTTACCTTCATTTGGTGCGTAGATTCCAACAACCAAAAATTTTTCTCCTTGTACTTGTATCTCCACTGCCAAATATTTCCCTTGTTCATCTTTAAACATCATTTTTGGGGCCCATTTCTCTTTTGCATATATCACAACTCCTCTTTTTTTTACTTTGTCTGATGAGATGAATTCTTGTCCTAGTCTTTTATTTGTAAGTAATCTCCTGTGAGCTCTAGTTATGTGGGTTTCTTGTAGACATATCAAGTCCAATTGTTCTCTGTTCAAGATGTGAAAAACTTGTCTTCTCTTCGAAGGCCCATTGAGCCCATTACAATTCCAACTAAGGAATTGCAGAGCCATTTTGTTATTTCTCTAACACTCCTCCAACAGCTCCAAGTTGTTGCTCTTCCTCTGAAGGTAGTGGTTTGTGTCCACGCGAAAGATTCAGAATGTCTAATGCTCTCCTCTGTTCTGCAATTGGGTCCACAGTCCCCTTCTGCAGGTCCTCTTGATTTCTTCCCAAAAATTTGTCTTTGTCTTGAATAGTCTTTATTTTCACCTTCTTTCCCTTGTAATCAAAGGACAGTCCCTGTGGGAATTCCCACCTGAAGCGGATGGAGTTTTTCTTTAACAAAAGAGCCAAATCCTTATAAAAGTTTCTCAAATCCAAGATATATTTTGGAATGTCTTTAAAAATCTGTGCAGCTGAGTTTCCAATTTGCAGGGCCTTTTCAAAGTGTAGTCCTAATATTTTGTCTCTTTCTTCCTTAGATCTAAGTGTAATCAGGCAGTCTCTCGGGGTCTTTCTGTCCTGCTTTTTGCCCAGTCTAAAGGCTGTTGTAATTTTAAATTCGTCTTCCTCCAGATCCCAGCAATCCGCAAACTCCTGTGTTAAAAACTCCGCAAGGTTGTCACTTTCGTTCTCTGGAATCAATCTCAATTTCAAATTTCTCTCTTTTCTCTGTAATTCCCACAGAGCCAAAGTTGCGTCGTGCTCATGGACCTTCTTGGCAATCGGTTCTAAATTCTCCTGTGTCTCTCCAGCGATAGCTCTCGCTTCTTCAGCAATTTTACGTGTAGTGGAATTTTCCTCAACCAGTTTGTTTATAGATTCTGTATTCTGGTCTAGTCTTGCTGATATTTCTGTTAATTTTTGTGTATTTTCTGAAGTCTGTTTTGTCAGAGACTCCAGGGATTGATTTACCTTAAGCAGGGCTTCTGTCACGGCTTCCATAGAGACAGCTGTCACTTTTTCTTGTCCTGTTGTTCCTGCAAGTCCGGCAGTTGCACCTGTGATTGAGCCTCTTTTCTTTGGTTGTTGTTGTTGCTGCAGCTGGTGCTGTTGTTGTTGTTTGGTCTTGGCTCTTGTGACTATCTCTTCTTGTGAGCCACTCATGTCAAGGTCGTTTCCCACGGGAGCTGTTCCCCACTGGAAAATTCCACTGTCTTAGGCAGTGCCAACCTTTACCTTACCCTCTAGGGGGAGCAAATCAAAATGGCCAAATATAAAATGTCCAAATACAAAGGCAAAGAGAATATCCAAGTACGTAGGAAAGGGAGAAAGAGAAAAAATAAAGCAAGTATAGCTGGAGGCTTGTAGCTGCAAATTGCCACAATTTCCCAGTAGATACTGTCTCAGCTTGCTCTAATGTACTGTATCCAGGCAATGCAGAAACTTTGTATCACAGTGTAACTTTCACAGGGAAAGTCAGTTCAGTGTCCTATTCCCTAAAAGGCAGACCGTTTCATGCTCTTAACCAGCTGAGGCAGCAGAGGATTTTTCTTTTAAATAAATTATGCAGTTGCCAAAGTCTCTCTTGCCTCCCCTCTGCCCTGCTAGCTAGAGGGGAGATCTAAAGTCCAAATGTCAGGTTTGATTAAATACAAACAAAGTCTTTAACGGATGCAGCTTTACAGTTCCGTTGCTTTCACTTTCATGCAGTCGGGGGGAGGCAGACTTCCTTGATTTTGACCTCCCCGCTTTCAACCAAATCTCCAAATTTTAGTTCCAAATAGAAGTTCCGTTTTACTCACGGGTTTTTTCTGTCCGTAATTTACAGGAAGGAATCGGCGCTCTCCACTAATAGCGACGCGGCTTCACCCTGCGGGCTGGGTAGCGATTCTCAGCACCGCGCTCCCCCGATGTCGTTCCAGAGCCTTTAAAAAGGCTCTTTCTGCGGTAAAGGGGGGGCGCTTTTGGTGCCCACCGAATCTCCTCGTTCACAGGCTTCCGCGCCTGTGATTTTAGGGGTCCCCCGCTTGCCGTAGCGGGACAGACCCGAACTCGCAGGGCAGTCCTTCTCCGGAGCTCGGAAAAAGGACCGCCATTAGCGCTGGCACCGACCGGAAGTCGATTGTTTATATTTAACATCCCATTCTTACTTCTTATGACTACAGGGTCTGTACCATAAAGCAATGTCCACACTGGGATTAGGGGGGAAGCGGGAAACTAAAGAAGAATTAAAAACAGGACTTAGATTTAAGGCTCAGATTGTAAGTCCTTACCTCAGAATCTAGCTTTAAAAAGAAAATATGAGTTCTATGATTCACCTCTGTTTCAAGGTTAACTACGAGCTTTTTTTATAACACACATCATATGACCTCCTGAGCATTAGTTTCACATGGTGAGCAATGCAAACACTGCCTTTGGTCCGGCAAAATGTGTCCCCCTCCCCATCTTTCTGCAGGTTTTTGTACAGCTTAGCTAATGGTCTCTACCACCTGAGTTCAGCTCTCAGCAAATGAAGCTTCCTAACGCTTTTCTCTTCCCTCCCTTCATCCCCTGCCATTCAGGCGTGGAGCCCTGACCAGGAGCGGCCACAGGTGAAAGTCCAGAAAGTCCAGAAAGCCAAAGAACCAGAGAAAGCCACACTCGGCAGCATCACCCCCTCCCAGAGCAGGTGAGTCATCCCCGCTCCCAATCACAAGAAGTATGGGAGGAAGCAGCTGGAAACTGAGGCTGAGTATACACCGTACATTCAAAGCACATTCCCCTGCCGTAAAGCATCCTGGGATCTATAGTTCATCAAGGGTGGTAGGAATTGCTGTGAGGGGTCAGCAGCAGTTCCCAGGATTCTTTGCAGTGGTGGGAATGTGCCCAAAATGTGCTTTAAATATATGGTGTGTCTCCATCCATGCAATTCACCCTATTCACAGGCAGTGAATTTGGGGGGCATTTTGTATGTGCGCTTTAGTACCCCTGGTTTAATACAGCTTTACTAAAGCATGGCTTTACGGACTGTAGGGATAGCAACAAGAAACAGCCAGACACAGCAGCTCCACCTTAATGTTGTTTGGCTCCAACTCCCATCAACCGCAGCTAGCACAGCCCACAGTCAGGAATGGCGGGAGCTCTAGTCCAGCAAAATCTGAGGGGCTGCCTGGTCTCCATCCACGACTTGGTGAGTCATAGGGAGGGATATTAATCCATAAAGAGGGATACTATGCACAGTGGTGTACCACTGTAATGGGCACTGGAAACAAGTCCTGGGACTGAATGAGTCCTAGTACAGACTTAGTCTTTCTTTGGCTGCGTATGTGCACATTACCAGCTTAAAATGCAGCTAGGCTGTTCTTTTTCTCCATTCCGATCAAAGTTGGTTTGGAGGGAAAGACCTCAAAGCACAGCATTTCATCAGAAATGGCAGCACAAATATGGGTTGTGGCTAATGTCATCATGTGTACACCACTTTCCAAACCGCTGGGTGCAGAGTAAACAGGAGTGTTCACACTGCCTCAAAGTTAGTGGCTGTTGACAAAGGGTTTCTTGGAAGACCAGGATTCCTTTGGCCGCAGGGCACACTTGTCTGCCTGGCCCTGAAAGATGCTTGGATGACTGGTCCTTTAGAGCATCTCATAATCCGTCCATGCAGAAGGCATTTTTATTTATTTTTTGAGTGCACAAAGCTTAAATTGATCTGATACGAGAATGTAAACGGAGGTCAGATGGGAGGCATTTGCTTTTTTAAAAAAAACAACAACAACACAGCTCTCTTCCATGTGCTGTTCCATGTTAACATCACTCTCCTGTTGGCACAAATAACCAGGAGACCAAAGCAGAAGAGGGCTGCCAAAATGATCACATTCCTTCCATGAGGAACGCTTACAGCATCCAGGGCTCTTTAGTTCAGACAAAAAGAAAGCAAGTGAGGGAAACATGACAGAGATGTATAAAACAATTCAAGGTGTGGAGAAAGTAGACAGGGGGGCGGAATTCTTCCTCACAATTCTAGCACCAGGAATCATCCAATGTGTGCTTTTATTTAAAATGCCTCTCTGGGTTATTTGTGGGGCATAGGAATTCGTTCATATTTCCCCCCCAAAATATAGTCTGGCCCACCATATGGTCTGAGGGATGGTGGACCAGCCCACGGCTGAAAAAGGTTGCTGACCCCTGCTTTAAAGCATTGTGTATAGAAGCTACCAGCAACTGTTATATAGCTTGCCGTACCCTGGACCATCACTAGAGGGAGAAGTGATGCTTGGCATTGATAATGTATTATAAAATTGTAGCATTGATTTTAGGGATGGAGGATAAATTATTATTATTATTACTATTATACTGTCTGACATTTTACTGTGGCTTTATAATTTGTTGGAAGCCGCCCAGAGTGGCTGGGGCAACCCAGTCAGACGGGCAGCATATAAATAAATTATCATCACCATTATTATTATTATTTGCATTTTAAAGTGCACCAACTTAATTTCTCTCTCCCAAACTTATATGTTGATCAGATCACAATTATCAAGTGTCTTCAGTTCTTCTCCAAATTTTGAGAAGAAATAGGCTGATCTGTCCTTCTCTAGTTGCTATTAAACATTTCTACTATTTCACTTCCCCCGCTTTTCCAAACAGTGAGAAGTTCCAGGGCCACATCACTCACCCAGATTTTGCTTCCTTAGTAGTTTTTTGGGGGCTTATAGCAATTTGCAATATTTGCATTCAGTTACAAATGCACAGGTGGAGAAATGCATAAAGTGTTTTTTTATAAAAAAATTCAAGACTCCTTGAGCTCTGCTCTACTCCTACTTTCTTCCTGCCCTGGGCGGCCCTGCCCTCTGCCTGCCCCTCAGAGCCATTGCGTCACACAGGGCTGGGCCTTGGTGGTGGAAGCTCCTCCTTCTTGCCTGCTCTCTACCAGCTGCTACGAGCTACCCAAAGAAGGAGGCCAGCAGCAGCAAAAGTCATAGAGAGGCAACAGGATGTTCCCGCGCTGCCACCGTCACTTGGGACAAGCTCCCGATCATCCTCCTTCCCAAGCTCGGTGGTGGCAGAAGCCAGGACGGCTTCTGTAATTCCTGGGGACTGTCCCTGGAAAATCGGGACACTTGGAGGGTATGGTATTTCCCCAAATACCAGGGCAGCAATCTCAGCCTAGTGAAAGGCAGGAAAGGCCATAGCTTGCCATAGAGATACAAGATGACTGGAAGGTTTCTTTAATCTTCCCTGGAGATATGCCTTGAAGCAGCAAGAGGAATCACCCCCGATCCAAAGCTTCAGGAAACCCCAGGAGAAACAGCCAGGCAGGCAAATGCATCCTTTGAGAGGGAAGCTTATCTGTTTGTGGCTGTTTATTGCCTCTTGGGAACTGTTTACTGATTTGCGGGGAAATTGTTCTGTTGACTTTCTTCAGTCAGGGTTTTGGATGTTTAAGGTACACTAGAAATGCAACTCCCCAAGGGATCGTGTAACTGTTGACAATTGTGTGGGTGGGTGTTATGGAGACAGTGAGGAAGAAGGGTTGGTGATGATGCTAAAGTGAATGTCAAGTGAATAGCTCCCTGTAATGATATCGCAAATCAGAACTCAAATCTCTTCATTTAACCCTGCCAGTGGTGCTGCCAAGATACAGGGACTGGTAAGAGAAGAAGAATCTATCTTCAAAACTGTTTTCCTTCTCAGAACCCACTCAGACTCAGCAATGTTAGCACCACACTTCCTTGAGAATTCATCTACTTTCTCATTATTTATCTATCCATTGCTAAATTTATTCCCACAGCTCAAGGTACCATACACCGATCTTCCTCTCCACATTTTATTCTTACAACAGCCTTGTGAGGTAGGTTAGCCTGAGAGACAATGATTGGCCCAAGCTCACTCAGTGACCTGCATGACTGAGTGGGGATTTGAACCCTGTATTTAAACATGGCATTTATCTCCCACCCTTTGTTAGCCAAAAAAAACTTCTCCCAGAATGGCAAAAAAACCAAACAAACCAACAAACCCAGTGTCAAAACAGTCCCTGCCCTCAGGCTTACAATCTAATCAGACATCAAACACATGGAAAATGATATTGTAGAGTTGGGGAAAGGTTCAGAAGAGGGCAAGCAAAATGGCTATGGGAGTGGAGCAACTCCTCCAGGAGGAAAGGTTACAGCATTCGGGACTTTTTTTAGTTTCGAGAGATGGTGATTAAGAAATGACATGATAGACGTTTATAAAATTATGCATGGCATGGAGAAAGTTAATCTCCCTCTCTTGTAACACAAGAACTCCTAGGCATCCAATGGAGCTGAATGTTGGAAGATTCAAGTAAATAAGCAAATAAAAGAAAGTGCTTCTTCACACAGCACATAGACAAACTACGGAACTCACTCCCACAGGGGCCAGTGGCAGCCACCAACTTGGATGGCTTTAAAAGCGGATTAGACAAATTCATGAAGGCTGTCTCTGTGCTCTACCTCCACAGTCAGAGACAGTAATGCTTCTGAGCACCAGTTTCTGGAAACCGCAGAAGAGGAGAGTGTCCTTGTGCTCAGCTCCTACTTGTGGGTTTCCTACTGCTGTCTTCTTGGCCGCTGTGAAAACAGGATGCTGGACTAGATAGGCCCTTGGCCTGATCCAATGGCACTCTTCTTTTTTCCTTAAAACAGAATATGAGAGAGGAAAGAAAGCAAACTCAAGCACAACCTCTTAACGTTACGGTTCTTATAATGCCGTTAAGAGCAGCATCTCCTTGCTGATGTCAATGGTGTTTCTGAGTGTCTCTTGCTCATGATAAAGCGTGGTCCTTCCACAAAAGCAATTCTTCCCCTCAGATCAGATCCAGGAATACAGTCTTCAGTCCTTATAGCCAGTGCTTTCTTCCCCAAGAAAAATAGGTGCCGGTGCTCCCCATGAAGTTGTTACAGTAAGTGCCACACTTTTTAACAACAACAACAAAAGAGGTGCCAGTACTGCATAATCTTGAGTACCCCCTGAAGAAAAGAAAAAAAGCACTGCTTATAGCAGTTAGAATCCTTCATTGCTGGTGTCAATGGTGGTGGTTCAGTCCTAATCCTAGTCCAACACTCCAGGCCCTGTGCAGACAAAGATGCTTTCTCAATCCAAACTGTTTACCTTAGGAATTTGTCTTGGCAAATTCCAAAGGTGATGAGTATCACTGGTTAAGAAAACAGATTGGAGTTCTGACTAATGATGTAAGAGTTGCATTAGAGAAAGAGATATATTCACTTAAGACATTCACCATCAGTCATCAAACATTCTTTCTTGCCTTCCCCTAAATATACACCCACAGAATCTGAACAGTTTCAATCACTTGCAAAGTTACTTTTCTAGCAAAACTTAGACATCCAGAACTCCTGCTGCACAAATGTCATCAGAACAATCACCCCCAAATCAGCACACACACCCCCCAAAAAACCAGTTAACAATTCTAAGGCACAGGATCACCAAATCATGCATTTTTCTCTCTCCTGCGATTTTTTGAAGTTGCAAATCTAGGGTGATTTCTGCTGCTGCACAGATTCAGGGGATGTCTCCAGGAAGATCAAACAAAATGTCAAGATTGACCAATTGATTGTACTTAGAGACAGCCCTTAAAAACAACACAATTAAAATAAGCACAATGTGCAAATTAAAAACAACAACACAAAAACAGCCAAAGTCAATATAACAAAACACCATTGCAGCGGCAACACAGGAGGAGGGCAGACATCAACTCAGCCTTAAGTATGGGAAAAGAGATGTGTCTGCTTGTCCAGTCATTGAAAAGCATGTAGTGATGGCATAAGACACACCTCAGAGGTAAGGCCATTCCACAACCTAGGGGCCACCACAGAGAAGATGCCAAAGAGCCCCATGTCCTGTCCTCTTCTTCGAGGATATAAACGTAGCAGTAGATCCTAATCAAAATAGGGGCTTGCCTATAGTTCCACTCACACTCTCACCCCTTCCCACAGTGCAAAGCCAGCACCCCCACCAGTGTCGGGACAGCGGGTTCGTGCTGTGTACGACTATACCGGCCAAGAGGCAGATGAGCTGAGCTTCAAGGCAGGTGAGTGTCGCCTTCTCCCAACTTCTCTGCCTCATTTCATCCTTCAAAGGCAGCTTTATAGGAACCTAGGGAGCTGCCTTATATTGAGTCAGACCATTGTTCCATCTAGCTCAATATTGTCTACAGTGGCTGGAAGCTGCTTTTCCAGAGTTTCACAGAGGGAGTCTTTCCCAGTCCTACGAGATGCTGGGGATTGAACCTAGGACATGCAAAGGAGCAGCTCAGCCTTAGAGCTATGGCTTAGGACAAAGAGGAAATGGGTATAATCCTGTCCTGACTTTTGATGGTGGTCTGGACCCAAGGGCCAATCTTGCGGAGTCTGGGTGTCTCCCTCCTCATCAATATCTGTACATGCTCCTCACATTCCCACACAGTGAGAAGTTCCAGGGGTGGCACTCAGCTGGGTTTGGCTTTATTTGAGGGAAGTGAGCCCTGGAGATTGATAGTGCTTTTGTGATATTTGCTTTATTTGCAGATATACAATTTGAGCATAAGTGAGGGCAAGACGCATACACATTCCTGCCACCAAAGCAGACCTCTTACCCTGCATCAGATTTCTAGAGAGAGAGGGAAAGGGGCACCCTTGCACTCCTAGATGATTCCAGGTAGCCTGGGACAAGCTCTCAGCCTTGGGTGCCTCCAGACCATCACTATTTATGCGGGAGGGATTCAAGTGCATGCCAGAACGTTAGCCTTGTGCATTTAAAGCATTGTCTCCCTGAAGAAATGAATCCACTTTCCGCTTCCTGTTAGGAAAGTGATGGGGAAACATACTGAAAAAATGCGTAATAAACAAATGAGTCATGAGATGGCATGTAAATAACCCTCAAGCAAATCAGCATAATGTTTATTGTCATATAGCTGCCTCGTAAACAAATTTGAGACAAAGTGTTCAGTGAAGACCGGAAGCAGTCTTAACCTCTGTGTAATCTTTGTGCAGACAAATCAGAATGAATGCTTACTAAATAGGTCATCTGGAGGAGCCCTCTCTGTCCCAAAGCTGCCTGTTTTGCTCCTTCAGAAACACAGATGCATAAGCGCGCACATACACCTTGCTTCAGAGCCTCCCCGGAGTGGGAGCATCCCCTTCAGTCGAGAGATCTCTGGATATTTCTTACCCATTAGCTCCCATTGAGAAAACATCAGCCAGCCACCCTTGGCCATTAACAAGCCATGACCAACCAGAAGCCATAGCACCATGTCCCAAAACATTGCCTGCCACCCATGGTGGTTGCTGCTGACAGCTCAGCCTTGGACCTCGCTTGTCGACTCTGCCCATTATTGTGGCTCCTCCCCGTTTCCAGTATCCGTAATAATTTCTGAGGTTTCCTCTGTCTCTTTCTTTCCTGTTTCAGGAGAGCTGCTTACCAAGCTGGAAGATGAGGACGAACAGGGCTGGTGCAAAGGGGTGACCGACAGCGGACGTGTGGGGCTCTACCCCGCCAACTACGTGGAGCCCATACAGGGCTAACTCGATGGGTTAGGGGGTGGGGGGAGGGAATCATGCACCCATACATCAATATTAGGGCTATGTTTATTCTGCACTTCCGAGATCGCACCATGTTGCCAGCCCAAAGTGGTGCAAAATTCAGCTTCCTTAGAGACTGCTTTATTTTTAATAATCATACAACTTTCAGTCCACATGGATGCAAAACTTTCAGTCCATACAGATGCCCTGAAAAGACATGTGAGTGATGCTGGTGAAATCTCAGAAGCCGGGTGGGCTGGTAGGTGGGGCTGCATGGAACTTTGAGTAGGGTGGGGCTTCTGATGTCTACACAGCTTCCTGCCCCTCCCTCTAGCTAGTTATATTATTATGCAAAATAAGCCCATTGATGCTCCATCTGAATAATCAATTCAGGGGAGGACAGCATTTGACTTTGGGTGGGTGGGGTAGCCCTGCCAATAGGTAAGGATATGGAAACCACCTGGAATAAAACGTGGGGAACAAATTCCTTAAAACAAACGCAAAGCACACACCCATAACCAGACACACACGTCTGGTCTGAATGGCACACCATGCACAACTCGTGCACAACACCTACACAAGCTGCAGATACCACCACTCCCTCTCCTTGCGTCAGTGACACACACATGCCAAAGAAATCAAGGTGCCTCTGAGTTCTCCTTGGGATGGTGGAGCCAGAGGGCACTTTGCCCCCAAGGGCTTGACAACACCTCTGGAAATCCCGGGATGGACTGAAAATCAGAATAAGAAAGGTATCTTAGAGTCTCTTGAGGAAATGCTTTTTGGGTATCTTGAGATGATTATCAAACAAAACAGCCACATAATGAGTCACGAAGGGCAGAGGGAGAGGACCACGTAACATAGGGTTGCTGATTTTAAAAAATCCCACGTGGACTCTCTGCAGAAGTGTCTTCAGCCATACAGTATATTATACTGAGCGTTACTACACTGGCCTTGCCTTCACCTGCCTAGATTCCTGTTTGTTTGTTTGTTTGTTTGTTTGTTTGTTTGTTTAGGGGGGGCATGAAAGAAGCAACCAGACTAGAAGCCGTTATCTCTGACTCCACCCAAAGAAGCATAACAAAGAGGGGGGATAGAAATATGATGAGCTTATGAGAGTGAATGATTTAAAAATACGTTTTAGCTCACCTGGAGGTTTTGGAAAATAAAAGAAATAAGCATGGTGGCAATCTCTGTGCCTTTTCATTCGTAATATTGTTTAAAGTAACTTGAAGGCCCCTTCTTCAAATGGAGGCATGAGATGGGGGCTCTGGAGGGTAACTCTACTTTGCTAGGAGCTGATCAATCCAGGTGGGCAAGAGCAGCCATGACCTGGAGGGACAATTGGTGGCAGCCGTATTGCAGGAGCCAGCCATAGCCACAGGAGAGGCTGGGGGCCTGACAGGCAGATTATGAGAGGCGCATTATTTGCTGTCCCTCCCCATCCACCACCTGAGCCATGGATCGTGGTAAGGGTGGCTCTGGTGGGCAGTGCCTGATGAAATCGCAGAAACCAGTTTGTGTGTGATCGTTCTCCCTCCACCACCTAATTGCCCCACTGTCATCTATGGGCATGCTGTTATTTTGATTTATAATAACCCGGCTTTCTGAGCGGTTGGAATCCGGTGCCAAAATCCAAGCCAACTTCCAGAATGTGTGGTTGGCAGATCAGAAGCTGTGCTGTTTCCCATATTCAGCTGCCATCTCGGCTCTGCCCACATCAAGTAAAACTTAAGCAACATCAAGCAAATGACTGCCTTATGCATTTCGGTATAAATAGCTATCGGAAAGTGTAGTTTTCTGGTGCAGGGGATTATAACAGGAAGGTTATCCATTTTAGGAAGAATTCCACTCATAAAATACAAGTCAGAGAAACACAATCCGAATGTTCCTTCCTCAAACATGCACAACCTGCTTGACTTTTCGGGAGAATGACGCTGCTTGGTGAAATCCATCCTCAAATGAGCCGCAGAACTGCTGTCTCTTGTGGCTAAAAGACAACACTATCTTCATTATCGATTTGGTTTTATTGCCAGGCTTATTTCAGTGCTTCAAGGGGAGATAACCAGGGTTTAATGTGATGCCAGAGCTAATAAAGCCTACCTCAAAGTTCCACAGGGCTCATGGGAGCAGGCTTTCATTACTATTGATAAAAATGTTACATAGCAAATGTCTTTCTGCACATGCTTAGAGGCATTGTTATTTCCATGATCCAACATGAAAACACACCCTTGGGACTCAGTGATGGTGAGCTTTGGTACAAAATAAAACCTGAGGGGAAACATTTCCTAACTCATGAACACAGCTGTGTGTGTGTGTGTGTGTGAGAGAGAGAGAGAGAGAGTGCTATTATTCCCATTTTACATACAAGGGAAATGAAAGCTGAGAGACAACAAGTTGCTCGGGCAGAGATGGCATGACCCGATTTGGCATCTGAGGTAGAAAATTCCAAAGGTAAAAACAGTGATAAACTAAATAATTGACAGTGTGTTGCGCTTTAATAGCACCCTAAGCTCTGCCACCAGAAGATCTGCCGCTGTCACACCCCAAGCATGACTCAGTAAATTCATGGATGGACTTTGTTGTCTGAGGCCACAGTGCTGAGTTTTATAAATGGTTCAGAGCAGAGCTTTCCAAATTGTGTGTCGTGACACATTAGTGTGTCGTCTGTAGTGTGTAGGTGTGTCGTGCGAACACCCTGCGCTTCTCCCGGGGCTGGAAAGGAATTAGTTTACCCTCCGGTTTGCTAGTAAAGCCGAATTACTGTGTCACAAAATGATGCATGTCTAAAAAGTGTGTCACCAACATGAAAAGTTTGGAAAGCTCTGGTTTAGAGGGAGAAAACATGGGGAAAGGCGAGAGTGGCCATTCAGGTGAGGTTTCAGAGACATTGGCAGAGGAAGGTTGCCATGTGGCTAGAACCTCTTCTGGCCTGTGGAGATTTTTTAAAAAAAGATTCAGACAGCTGCCTGTTCATCCAATGAAAAAGCCATTACTTCTGAGGCAGTCCTGGTTCTGGCCTGCTTAGCAAAGCAGTGCTATGGCAGCAAGTGCAGCTGTCACAGCGCTGCTCCATTAAGTTGGCAGGTAAGGTCTGCACTGCAATCCTTTCATTCCAACCTGATCAATTCTGCTTTTTCAGGACTGCTCTTATGAATCACACCATAATTTCCGGTTTGTCTTTAAGGGCAGGTCGTGACACTTCAGCCTGAGCTCAGGTGCTTTCCCCTGAACACCCTTGGACACCTTTTGGCTGCTTCTCCTCAGTCTGAGGCAAATCAGAGGGGAATGTTGGGGCTGATGTGTGTTTTTAAAAAAGGTTTTCCAAATCCATGACCAAGGGGGAAAAGGGGAATTTCCAAGCTCTGCCCCACTGAGACCAAATGATGGGGTATGTAATTAATGAGAACCTCAAGGAAGATGCCCACAACTGCCCTGCCTGTTTGATGACTTTGGGGGCTATTTTGTTGCTCTACCTTATGAAGAGCTGAACCACTGGGGATGCCAGCCAATCATCAACAGAAGCCCACAAACTACCCAGGAGGTGACTTCTCCCACACAGCGAATCAGATTCTGAACCCTAGAAATCCAACATTCCTCCTCCTTCAGGTGAAACCCTCATCCCAGGTGCTCTTAGCCAGTCAGAACAATTTGTCTCCATGAGTGCATGGAATAATTGCAGGATGAACCTATTGGAACCACGAACCCCAATAATTGCAGGAAATAACTCCCTTCTTAACCAATCAGGATCTACAGCTAGCATTCCTGAGACCAATGGGCGAGGCACTCACCGTGCTGCTACCCAGCCGGTCCAGATATACATCTAGTCCACCCCTGAGACAAGTAAACTGGGTGCCTCCAAGACAGAAGGAAACACTGCTGGAGGTTGCAAAAGGACCAGCTGAAGATGGGAGGCCGGTTCTGTGTCATGCTGCTGCTGCTGGCGGTTGGGGCTCAAGGGCTGATGAGGTGAGAGAAAGCAAGATGTTTCTTAAGCTCCATGGTGGGAGAGGTTAGTGGGGTATTCCAGTAGCTAGGATTCCTATGTGGAGCCACAGTTTTGAGTGGGTCAGGGATGCTAGACCTCCAGGAGATGACAGGACAACACAGCTTAATTTGAAGCATCAGCTGGTGGAATGGGTAGCTTGAGTTTCCTGAAAGAGGCGTACAGTCTAGTGGAGGGCAAAGAGACAGCTCAGTTTTAGTAGAACATAGGGAGCTGTGGTATACTGAGGGCTTATCCGCACTTATTCTTTTCCCACTGCTTCCCCCCAGGGGAATCTTTAGGGTGCAATCGGAGCAAATGGCAATTTGGGTTTCCCCCGGATTGCCATTTGTTCTGATCTATCACTAAAGAGTGGACTCTCCCTTGGAAAGGAGTAGGGCAGGAGGAAAGCTGCTCAGACCTGCACTTTCTAGGCACAGCACTAGTGGAAGTGTGGACGAACCCTGGGTCAGACCATTGGTCCACCCGGTTCAGTATTGTGTTCACTGCCTGGCAGCCCCTCTCCGGAATTTCAGAGCACCTCTCCCAGGATGGCCTGGAGATGCCAGGAATTGAACCTGGGACCTTCTGCATGCAAAGCAGGTGCTGTACCACAGAGCTACAGCTCTTCTTCTTCTTGCATGGGGATGTTCCAGGTTCAATTCCTGGCACCTCCAGTTAGGTCTGGGAATGTCCTCAGCATAGGCACCAACTCCTGGAGGCTTAGGTCCCTTCAGCCCCCACAATAAAATATTTGATACCAGAGTTGATGGGCATTGCTACCTTTCCTTCTTTTCCATGTTTGGACTTTGAAGCCCTGTAAACAAACTTATAAAAAGTTCGATGGCAAGAGAGCTGGGATTGGGCAAAACCTCTGACATTGTTCCTTGTGATTGGAGTGGAGAGAGAGAGAGTGCCAACTGGGCAGGTTTATGGAGTTCTGTTACAACAAGTGAGGAAGCAGTTCCCAGTTGCTTATCATTTTTAAAAATTAAACTAGGAGCACCTAATTCAGATGACTTGGAGGGTAAAGCTCCACACCCATTGTTGCTGCTGTTGTTGAATGAATGAATGAATGAATGAATGAATGAATGAATGAATGAATGTTGATTATCACAGCTAAACAGCCAGCATAGGCAGCTGCTGTTGTTAATTCGCCCTTTACCCCAAGGTCCCAGGGCAGGTTACAACAATCAAAACAATATTTAAAAGCAATTTAAGACAAATTACTGTTGCAGAAATAAGGTGGGTCCTAAAAAAATATGCCCAAGCAGGAAAATGCACAATTTTGCAGCCAACCCTCACTGATTTTAGGCAGGAGGGAGGGGGAGGAGGCAACAAGGTGCATAGAAATTTGGGGTTTTGGAAGAGTTGGGTTCAAGTCCCCTTTTGGCTTTAATAATTCAGAGTAGCCAAGGACCAATCAACAGTCACCCGCACAGAGCTGTTTGGGGGATAAAAAGTGGGGTAGGGGAATAAACCTTCACCAGCACTAGGTACCTCTGTTGCTAGGATTGGAGGCAGGGTTTATCTGGCACACACATCCCAAATATTTTATTCAAGTTGGCATCCCTAGTCCCCAGCCTAGAGAGCCTCTGCCAGTCAGTATCCAGCTAGATGGACCAATGGCCTGGCTTAATATCAGTCAGAATCCTATGTTCTTGTGTAAGAGAAGAGCGACTCACTATGGTTTTCCACTACAGACTGGGAAGGGAGAAGGGACTAGTGGTTAGAATGGAAGATCAGAAATCTCTTGGGATTGCAAACCAGCGGGTTGAAGCAGAGGCCAATGGGCCCCTGAGAGGTGATGAGGGAGAAAGAAGGCAGGTTGTTTTGTGAAAGAAGGAAGACCTTGTGAAATGCAGCAGCAACATTAAGAGCCAGGCTTAGAACTCCAGGATTCTCAGGAATAAAGGTTTGGATTAAATGATAGCGGCAGGCAAAGTTATGCTGAAAACAAGGTTCCCACACCCTTTTTTCCCTCCTGAAGACTGCTGTGCTGAATTACAGGCAAAAATTCAACAGGAGAAGCTTTCCACATGCTCCAGCTCCATACCTGGGAAAACTTTGCCTTTTGAACTTGTGTCTGTCGGACAGCTGCTTTAAAAATATAGATGCTGAGCCAAGAAAATGGGTCACTCTCCTAGCAAGACCTCAGGGATAGTGGAGGGTCCAGTCCAAGAGAGGACTGGATTAGTGCAGGACTTCCCATGATGTTGGTTTTCTAAGGGTGCCTCCAGACTGCCGGTATTTTGCTGGAGGGATTCAGGCACATAAGAAGTAGATTAAAGGCTCTGCAGAATGAATGCTGATTGCCATATAACCGCCCTGTAAACAAATTAGAATGAATGCTCAATAAAAACAGGAGGCAGTCTTAAACCCCCTCATAAGCATTGTGCAAACAAACCAGGGAGCATGCCAAATAAATAGGTCACTGGAGGATCCCCTAGCGTTGCCAGTCTGAGTAGGGTTGCCAAGTGACATGCTCCTCTGCCTTTAACAGTAGGTTGATGTGTGGAAACCAGCCACTGAAGCTTTTTCTGGGTACAGAGGTAAATGTTATTGCTTGCTAGTGTCTGCCTGTCAAACTGAAATTTTAAATCCCACCTTTCCTTCAAGGAGCTCAAGGTGACACGCATCATTCTGCTCTGCCCCACCCATTTTGTCCTCACAACAACCTTGCAAGGTGGGTTAGGCTGACCAAGACTAAGGTGACCCAGGGAGCTTCATGGCTGACTGGGAATAAGAACCCTGGTCATGCAGGTGGTCCTAAGTCCAGCACTCTAACCACTGCACCACGCTGTCAAAGGCGCAGGAGCAACAGAGGCGGGTTATACTACAAACAGAAAAGTTGGCACCCCTCTTACCAAAACCGAGGCACAAGCACGTTGTTTTCTGAGTGGGGAGTTTCAGGTTATCAGTTTGACAGTGGGAGTCACATGATGTCACACCAAACCTTTACCTAGCACGCACTTCCTGTCTGCGCAAGGTGCTCGGCCTCAGTGCTCAGCGCTCCGTTCTGCTGAGCCAACATCCTTCCGCCTCCCAGCCCATGAAGGAATACATTAGCCAAAGAGCAAAACAAAACACCTGAGAGCAGCCCTCGTTAAGAAGGCCCCTGTAATTATGACACCGATACTTGGCCATCACCCAGCTGTAGGTAGGAGGGATGGGCAAGGGAGATAATTACAGATATGCTGCGCTGCTCATCAACAGGCAGGGCAGGACATGTGCGCTGGGGTGGTGAGACCAGCCCTTCACCTGGGGTTGGAATCGGAGCTGGCAGGAGGCAGCCCCTGGAGAAGATGTGCTTCCCTGCCTCTTCCATAACCACATGGCAGGGATCAGCTCCCTCTTTTGCATAGGGCTCAGATGACTGCCTGGAACCCAGTGGGTGGGGAGTTTTCCCTGGCAAGAAAATGGGATTATCCCGGAAGAACTTGGTGGGCGTTATGCTCTGCATGACTCTTACCTGCCCTGTCCTGAATGCAGAGATCTGGCACCTCTTTATTTGTCTTCTGGTTTTTTTGAAGACAGACATATATACAGTGTGTGTTTGTGTGTGTGTGTGTGTGTGTGTGTGTGTGTGTGTGTGTGTGTGTAAAATAGAACTTTATTGAGGTTGATAATGAGCCAGCAAAATTTTCGCCAACTTCTGCCAGTCACAGAAATAGGATTCTACAGTACTACATTTTGCTCTGCGTGCTTTTGGAAGAGCAGGGGTTTATTATTATTATTATTATTTTATTTTATTTTATTTTATTTTATTTTATTTTATTTTATTTTATTTTATTTTATTTTATTTTATTTTATTTTATTTTATTTTATTTTATTTTATTTTATTATTTTATTTTATTTTTATTTTTATTTGCACTAGTGTGGCAAGGAAAAAAAGGGGGCCATTTTACGTGCCCTACCAGTTTCTGGCTCAGTACTGCTGTCACCCCATAGACACCCCTCTCCCTTCTAAAATAACCCAGGGCCATTCTTAAATGCAGGAATGCAGAACTTGTGACCCTCCCAGTGTTGCTGGACCAGGCCATATCCCACATCGTTCACTTAAACCACTCTTACACCACTTGAACAGTCATGGCTCCCCCTCCCCCCAATAATATCGGAAACTGTTAAGGGTGTTGGGAGTCGTAGCTCTGCGAGGGGGTCTCCTAACCACTCTCTACACCCTTAACAAACTACACTTCCCAGAATTATTTGGAGGAAGCTGTAAAATAGTGTAAGAGTGCTTGAGATGTGTGGTATGGGCAGCCCTCCTTGCCCATGCTGGCTGGGGCTGATGGTAGCTGGAGTCCAACAGGGCTGTTGTATGTTCTTAAAGGACTTAGAGCACAGGCCCATGACACAAGTTTGCACAAAAATTGCGAACACCCCCCTCCTTTCCCAAATAATTAATTCCATTCCTTTCCCAAATAACCCAGGCATCTTAGACCTGGGCCCCATAGCTAGTGTTTGAAGTCTGTTTTTGTCATCTGTCAACGTTTCCCTTTTTAAAGGGAAATTCCCTTATTCCGAATAGGATTCCTCGCAAGAAAAGGGAAAAGTTTACAGCTATGGCTTTTGTTTGTTTGGCCAACTACCTTCACCACCAACTACCTACCACAGGAAATGGGGGGCGGGGAGGACAGATCGACCTGTGTGGCTCTCCAAATGTTGCTGGACTAAAATTCCCATCAGCCTCAGCTCCTCCCAGTGACCTTTACATTCAGCATTTATATTCAGCATTCATCCAGATTTGCCAGCACAAAGCTTACATGGTGGTTAGACATAGGGCATTTCCAGGCCACCTGTTTATTGAGCATTCATCCTGATTTGCTTGCAGATGACATTGGCTGATTAATGATGATTCATTACCATTTGTTTATGGTGAGGTTAGATGACATTGCATCAAAGCAATTGTTATCCCACACTTTTCCTGTGGGGGCGGGGCGAGGGGGGAATAGTTATAGATCACCAGTGTAGGGTAATTCATGAAATACTTGGCCAGATCCCCAGATCCAAAGCTCAGGGCTAAACATACTCTCCAGCAAGAGAAAGCCCCCAGCAGTGTTTAAAAAGGCACAAAAGCAAGCAACAGTGTAGCGTGGGGATTTACAGTGTTAAACCTTTTAGTATCCCGTTAAGTCCACTACCAGAGCTTCCACATTTCTACCCCACTTAGAATTGATCAGACCACACACCTTAGTAAGTTTTAAAATGCTTTACCTACAACATTCCAAAGATCAGGTTCATGCATCTATCCATGCAGCAGCAAGTGAACAGAGGCAGGAATCTTGGGGTACAAAATATAGTGAAATAGCTTTAAGCATGCGGTCTGAGCTTGTAGCAAGCAAGCTCAGGCATGTCATATCTCAGAGAGTTCACATTGTTTGCTCTTTTACCATGTGAGGGGGATGACCTAGCAGCTGAATCTGGCAATTCTGTGGTCTTAACCCCTTCATGCATTAATTAGCCCTATGACTGCTAGTTATATTTGACTGTAATTTCCCACATTTCCCTATCACTTTCATTATGGCAAAAAGTTTGATATTTTGGGGGAGCGAGTTTGTTGTGCAAGACCTCCCAATCAACTATAACTGGGCATTCAGAATTTGCCAGTATGTAACTGAATCCCACCAGAACATAGCAACAATCTGGAAGCATCCCATGTCAAAACTTGCTTGAGTAGTTCTGATTTCACCAGGCAATTATACAACATTGAATATTCATCCTGCATTCGTCTTGATTTACTAGCAGGGTTTTTATATGTCTTCCCATTATTCATTTGTCCTTTCCACGTGTTTCAATACATGTTCACATCACTTTCCTAAACCAAAACCAAAAGGGATTTGTTGCACTAGGGCAATAGAGCGCTTTAATCCACTTTACTTGTGCAAATCTCAGATGCCTCCAGGTGGTTGGTATTTTGCAAAAGTGATTCAAGTGCATACTGGAACATTATGCAGGAAAATGGTTCCATAATTAAATCTATAAGCCTCCCTCCTCAACTAACTCCTTCAGATTTTAGCCCCCATAGTCATCTAAAAACAATAATTAGGGTCTGAGACGAAACAGTAAGGGAGGAAAGGTCCCTCTCCCCCTGTAATTTGAGCACTTAGCTCCTGTACTTCACTGCAACGAAGCCTTCAGTTTGTGTAACTGAGGTCACATCCACACCATCCATTTAATCCACTCTTACATCATGGAGTCATGGAGAACCTTGGGAACTGTAGTTTGTTAAGGGTACTGGGCATTCTAGGTCTGGGAGGGTCAACACCGTTAACAGTTTCCAGGATTCTTCTCTGGAAGCCATAACAGTGCTTGAAATGTAGGGTTATTCTGGCACCTGAAAATCCCACAAGCACGAGTCTGAGGGCCCTGGCAGTACCAATACAATATTTGAATAATAGTAGTAAACAAAACACTTGATTTCCCTTTCATGGCACCTAAAACCTGCTGCCTGAGGCAGCCACTTCACTGTCTAACACAGGGGTCAGCAACCTTTTTCAGCTGTGGGCCGGTCCACCATGCCTCAGACCATGTGGTGGGCTGGACTATATTTTGGGGTGGAAATGAACATTCCCTCAGACCTTGTGGTGGGCTGGACTATTTTTTTTTTGGGGGGGGGGAATGAACGAATTCCTATGCCCCACAAATAACCCAGAGATGCATTTTAAATAAAAGCACACATTCTACTCATGTAAAAACACCAGGCAGGCCCCACAAATAACCCAGAGATGCATTTTAAATAAAAGGACACATTCTACTCCTGTAAAAACACGTTGGTTCCCGGACTGTCCGCGGGCCAGATTGAGAAGGCGATTAGGCCGCATCCGGCCCACGGGGCTTAGGTTGCCTACCCCTGGTCTAACGAAAGGGCTGGTCCTAATAATGCATTCCTCCTGACAACTCCCCTCTGCTTATTTTCCTCTCCTTGGCAGGATCCCATTGCAGAAGTTCCCTTCAGTCCGAAGCCGGTTTGGCCGCTCAGGCCTCCCCATCGCTGACTTGTTAAGACGAGGAAGAGTCAGGTCTGGGTCACCCTCGGAAGAAGGTTCTGTCGCCCGCCAACGCCTGCACAACTACATGGATGTAAGTGCCCACGAGTGGCAGATGGTGCCCATTGGGACAGGAAGGGCAGAAGGCAGGGAGCCCAACAAGAGGCAGAGGCAAAGCCCCTGACAGGCACCAATTAATTCTAGTTTTATCCCCATTCTCTTCTCTGCTGATTTCGGAGGGGGAGGAAGCTGATGGGCCGTGCCCCCTGACCCCCCAAATGGTGGGGGTAGGCTGAGCTTGTGGGGGGGCAATGTCCCATTTGCTCTAGTGGAACAACCCCCAGTAGTGCCCACTCACCTTCCCTAGGGTATGGACAGAAACTAGGACTGATGGCACCTTGTACAGCCCCCCTGTCAAACCTGGCACCAGCCCTGGGAAATGAGAGGCCATTTGGGGAATTCTGTGCTGACCCCTTCCTTCCCCATTCTACTCTAGGCACAATACTATGGACAGGTCTGCATTGGAACCCCAGAACAGTGCTTCAATGTTGTCTTCGATACTGGTTCGTCCAATTTGTGGGTGCCCTCCTCCAAATGTTGCCTATTTCACCTGGCATGCTGTAAGTTTATTTTTTATTCTTATTGGCTTTCCTCACAAAAGTCACCCCAAGCAAACCCACAAGAGCAACAAAACACTAAAACCAAGTATAACAAACAGCTGATAAAAACCTGAAATCACAACTATACAACATTCTTGTTGCTTTGTAGCTCAGTCGGTAGAGCATGAGACTCTTAAATCTCAGGCTCATAGCTTCAAGCCCTAGGTCGGGCAAAAGATTCCTGCATTGCATAGAGGGGCTAGGAGACCCTCGTGGTCCCTTCCAACTCTATGATTCTATATAAAAGACAGGTCTTACAGATCCCACCCTACTGTAAAGGCCACAATTGTCTGAAGCCCTTCAAACTAAGAGCTAAAACCCTGGTTACAAATGAGGTGGCACCTAAAAATAGATAAAGATGGCACCAGGCAGGCCTCCCTGGGGAGAGAGTTCCACAAGGCCCATTTTTGGGGAATGAGGTGGTAGCAGTGGATCTAAGCACTACAGTGGAACCTTGGTTCTCGAACTTAATCCATTCCAGAAACCATTTGACTCCCGAAACCATTTGAAAACCGAGGCGTAGCTTCCGATTGGCTGCAGGAGCTTCCTGCACTCAAGCAGAAGCTGTGTCAGATGTTTGGCTTCTGAAAAACGTTCGAAAACCAGAACACTTACTTCTGGGTTTTCGGCGTTCGGGAGCTGATTTGTTCATCAACTAAGCCGTTCAAGAACCAAGGTACCACTGTACTCTAGTTGTTTCTATGGATTACTATTACTAGTTTTTTATTTTATGAGAATCAGTGCAATGAACCATACAGCCCCTTGTGCTGCAGTTCCCAAGCACCAACCATAGTTAATTATTCCTAACCATAGTTCATGATTTCCTATGAATGCAGAGATGGCTCCTGTTTTGCTCCTCCTGTAACACGAGCAACAGTGGCAAACCATTGATGCTTGGCTTTGTTTTCTGTTCAAACTAGGATTTATGGTTTGTTTTGCTATCCCTTCTGCTAGCAAAGGAGCAAAGAGGGAGCATCTTTGCAATCAAGGTTCACTGTGATGTGTGAATGCAGCTACTACAATGCTATTTTTATCAAAAGACAACATGTTGTCGTCTTGCCAAGATGTCTCCCCCCTGCCAATTACCCACTTCCAATCCGTTTCATAAAAATATCAAATATTGGGAAAATATTGCTCAAACAGAAGAGTTTTACAGTGCTGTAACACTATAACGTTAATTTTAAAACAATGAAAAGCTGTCATTACACACATTTTCCTTCTAATTAAACACTTCCCATATGCACTTCAGATCAAAAACAAACTTTTAAAAATATATATATTTCTTGGGTAGCAATGCAGAATCACACTTACATAAATGAGCTTTCAGCGCTAAATTAATCATTGATATAAGTACCTATTTATATAGTTTGAAACCATTCAGGCGAACTGAATCTTCTCTTTATTCATGCACAGCTGCTCTGTCACAATGCCCACTAGTGGTGGGGATGTAGCATAGCAGCATAAACAGACAGAAAAGGATACTGTACCTGTGGTAGTATGGAAAGTCAGTTACAATTCTCCTTGTCGCTTCCAGGAAAAGAGTAATGGCTTATTCATGCTCAGGGCACCAGTCTGGAAGAGGGATGGGGGAGAAATCTGATTCAGTTCGCATTTGAAGCCAAATCGGTCAAATCTGCCTTTTCTGAAACAATATGAGAACTGAAACAGAGCCATCCTTTCCAAATTTCTATTTCTCCAAATGTTGTGATGCAAATCTCCCACCAAACAGTGTTTACAAAAAAACATATGATGGGGAAAATGTGTGTGTATACACACACACAACATATTCAGGTGCGTTATATTTGGAAAAATGCTTACAGAAATGTGCACATGAATCAACACCACGTACAAATAGGTGGTTATTTAGGAGACCTTTGCACTAAAATGCTGAATTATTTTCATGTGGATGTTTTGTTTTTCTAAACATTTCAAATGACTGCAGAACCGAATTTAAGACTGGAATAATGGGAAATTGAAAGAAGTACTCTGGAAGCAGCTGTCCTGAGTGTCTTGCACCAAATGACGGTTCCCTAAATAAATAAACAGAAAAATACTAGGGTCAGGGATAGTAATGAGGTTCCGGGGCCAAATCTAGCCTCCTAAGAGATGCCAACCAGCCCCCTGTTGTGGATGACTTGAGAAGCTGGTTCCACCTGAGACAAGAGAACTTGCTGGCAAGCCATCGCAAGGGTTATGGGTGAAGTGGGTGCTAGACCACGCTTCACCCTCTCCTCAAAGTGTTGCCGTTACCAGTGTTCTAGAGCAGGAGTGAGGAAGTGGATGTGGCCACTGGCCCACCCTCCACTGGCAATTTTTGGCCAGAGGGCTGGGCCGGCCAGCTGCCAGTCACCTGACATCATACCATGTCAAGCGATTCTGCTTCAAAGGAAGAATCAGGAGTTGCATTAATCTTCCTTGGCACTCCTGGGTTGAATTCAAACTTCTGCTGCACTGGCTCGCCCCTTGTAAGCCCCAGCTCAAATTCAAGCCAAAGATTCCTGCCAAAAGCAGGGCTTGCCTTTGGGCTTTCAGCAGGAACCTTGGTAGCTGCAGGTTGAATTCGGCTCCTGGGTGGAAGTGATTCCGGTGAGGCTTGGCATTTGGTGCCCACTTTAAAAGGTGCCCAACCCCACTTGCAGATGAACCACCAGAGCAGCATAACTCTAAGGCTCCCTGTCGTTCCTTTGCAACCCTGGCTTTGCTTACCTCACACCTGACACCAGATGATGTCAGGTGGGGGCTTGGGGAATAACAGACTGACAGGCCACACCAGTATCGCTAGCTGGCCTCACTTGACCTGAGATTCCCCATCCTTGCTGTGCAGCCTTAGGGAGGAAGGCCTTTATACTCTTCTTGATCTCAAGAAAAGATCATGCAATTGTTGAATGGTAACAGGACAGTGTCACCTGTAAGGTAGCTGCTGCTAAGGAAACCATTAGCTTTGATGAGGATGAGGAGGAGGATGTTAATAACAACAATATTTTTAATAAAATGTTCCTGGGAGCTAGAAGCGCTAGAGTTGAAACCAACCCCTATCCTGCCACCACACAGACAGCTGCTTTCTCTCTCCTCAGGGGTACACAGTCACTACCGGGGCTTTTTCTCCTTGACTCACAAGGCCAACAAAGCCAAATTTGCCATTCACTATGGAAGCGGGAGTCTCAAAGGATTCTTGAGCGAGGATGTTCTGAGGGTGAGTATGGGGAGCTCAGATGCCTGGGTTCTTCTCCAAGAGGCAGGATAAGCTTAATCAATGGGGGAGGGAAGATTTCTGTACGATTTACCTTCAGAACGTGACTTCAGTGCCAGGTCAGTCCTGGAAGTTATCATGGGGAGGGGATGGAGGATGGGGGAAAGCACCCAAGCATGCAGGATGTCTTTTCCTTCCACAAATTCACACACCTCTGTGATAGCTTCTAAGAGAGAGCGGGAGTTGTGCCTGGGAAATTTGCACTCCTTTTTATTAAATGGTGGAGACCATGGCCCTTTGGTTGTGAAAGTGATGAAGAGACTAATGTTTTAAAATGTTATATACATATATGAAGGTGCCAGCTGTTGCCTTGTTGTTGTTGTTTGCCAGGGACAGTGTCTGTATTCTGGTCCCTGATCCCAGTAAATCACTGCATCTATTTTTGCCTTTTGAGTATTGTGAATGACATTAAAAAAACCCACACAGCCTTTATCCTTTACCCCTGAATAACTGTGAGGCTGACACAACCAACTAGGTTTTCATAGCGTTCTTGAAAAGCTCACCATGGCTTAGGCCTCTGTGTACCTTCTGTGTGGCGAATGCATTTTTGTGTGCCAGCAATGCCTCTTGAGTACCACGGGCATAACTGGGCTTCCGCCAAATCCTGTAGCCCTTCAGCTTTCCATAATTCTGGTACAGGGATTGCACCCTAAATCTCCGAGTGAGGCTGAAGGCATTTTGACTTTGCTGTGCATACATGTAAACAAAGGCTTAAGAACTGGTTGTCTGTGGCCTACCGGGTGGAGTGGCCAGCTGCCAGGCCCCTTCACTACCTACTAAACATGCATCACTGTAAATGCAAGGGAACTTGGGAAGCTGCCTTATGCTGAGTCAGACCCAGAGGCACAACCTTGCGCCCAAGGTTGAGGGTGCCCAACACGTGTTGCACATATGGGACGTCATGTGTGTGTGATGCACTCTGCACGCATGATGTCACATCGTCAGGGGGAGACGAAGTGTGGAGCCAAGCACAGCCTGGCTTCAGTGGCCAGTGGCTCCTCCTCTCTCGTGCTCAGGAGAAGCCTGTGCTGCGCTCAGCACTGAACTCGGCTTCCTCCACCCCCTCAACACTGAGGGGGGCCTGGCCCCTTGCCAACAGATACTGAGGAGGACAAAGACTCCCCGGCCCTAAAGAGTTGGCACGCCTGGTCACACCACTGGCCCACCTAGCTCATTATTATCTATGCTGACTGATAGTGGCTCTCTAGGGCTAATCTCAGATAATCTCAGGCCTACCTGGAGATGCCAGGGATCAAAGCTGCATGCAATGCAGATGCTGTACCACCGAGCCATGGCTTTCTGAAGGCAGCCCTGTTTAGGGAAGTTTTTAATGTTTGAAGTTTTGTTCTGTTTTTAATGTTCTGTTGAAAGCCGCCCAGAGTGGCTGGGGAAACCCAGCCAGATAGGCAGGGTAGAAATAAATTATTATTATTATTATTATTATTATTATTATTATTATTATTACTACTACTATTACTATGCCCAGGACATCTTGGGCATCCAAGCCAGCCCTGCTGAGGGCTGCTCATGACCAATGGGCTTTAGCTGATTCATTACTGAGGATTAGTCTGAAGTGTTTGTATTTACCTTTGGAAGGCATGAGAAAAGTGAGATAGGCTTTCCTTCCAGTGTAACCTCTGACAGCTTCTGTTTGTTAAACTGTAAATTGTCTAAGGCTTACTACTCCAACATCCTCCAGAAGGCACTTTGAGAGATGTTTTCAAAATAGGCAAACTTATTTAAATTATATTGATGGATTACAAAGCTACATGATTAATCAACTAAAAATCTTGCAGTGGCTATGAGCCTTAATTAAAATTATTCAGACATTCATCACGGCAATTTATATATATATATATACGGCATCATTACATGAATGTAGCACTTTGCGATATTGCCTAAGCAAATCCTAAGAGCAGAGCATATTTCAAGATAGTTTCTTCTGCATTTGGAGAGAGGAACTGTGGTTTGTTTAAACTATGTTTCGGAACATGCCAATATCTGAAACTGCAGTTTGATCCTGGCTTACCTTCACTATAGTTTACCAGATTATAATTTCTGATCTCTTCCTCTGGTTCATGAAAGAGAAGGAGGGGGAGCACACAACCCAATGGCTTGCCATGATTCATTCACATAGTGGGGAACTACTGTCTTCTGTTACATCTCAACCCAGCTACTGCCGAATCCCAGTTTCTCTTCTACTAGAAAGTAAGCACTGGATCTGAAGGAAGAAAGACAGGTGACACCACACAGGGATTCAGGGACAGAGCTCCAGGCTTAAAGATGCAGCAAGAGGATGCTAAAGCCTTGGTCCTTCAAAACTGAGCGTTGTAGTGGGTATCAGGTTTTTCTAATTCAGAGATATGTGAGTATCTGGTCGATGGAGCAGAAGACATGATGCTTACCTTCTCTCTCCTCAGATTGGCAACTTGAGCATTCAGAACCAGACATTTGCCGAGGCTACAGATCTGCCAGGTTTGGTTTTTGTAGCTGCAAAGTTTGATGGCATCATGGGGCTGGGGTATCCCAGCATCTCAGTCAACAATATCACCCCACCCTTTGATAACATGATGAAGAATAAGCTGCTTAAGAAGAACGTATTCTCCTTCCACCTCTGCAAGTAGGAATCCTTCATGTTACCTCCTCCTTTCTCTCATCTCAGTCTTACCCTTCCCAAGTCCCAATGCATCCCTTTAGAGATGTATCCAATGCTAGCCACAATCAGAGTAGACTCATTGGAATTAATTGGCATGACTAATGTAGCTGTTAACGAAGCTCTGGCATAATAGGATCATACCATCGAGTCCCAATTAATCTTGCTGCCCTATTCTGGACCAACTGAAGTTTCCAAACCATCTGCAAGGGCAAAAATTTACAATGCATGAGAAACTATTTGCTTTTCCTTCTCAGCTGCTGTTTGCATTGACTCAATCTTTCCTACACTGAACATGCCCTCAAAAATATGCTCACATGTCATTGGATGTTAGGATTAGGCACACTCCATTCTCAATAGAAGAGAAGAACAAAGAGCTTCTCTTAGCAAGCACAGTGGTGTCCATGTTGGTGCCTTTTCCACATTGATGGGGGGTGGGGAACATGCCTGCTCCTTTTTGCTCTTCTAAATGTGGCCACCATTTTGTCTTACTTGACACACCCCATGGCACCCATTTTGTGACTGGCACTGAATTATCAGAATTCCAAATGCATCCACTGGCCCGAAAAGGTTGGCAACCTCTGGCCTAAGTAAGCTATTAAGAGGTACTTTGAGCCGATGAGTCATCTTGTTGCAGCAGGGTAGCTCTGGGTGACATCTCTTTATGCAGGAATCTGGGCTGTCAGTTTTCCAGTTGGCATAACACTCTTCTTTTCAGTGACTCACAAAGACTGGTTTAGGATTCTGAAATGCCTCTGTGTATACAATACAATTAAAGAGAATGCTGATTGCCAGGTGGAGTTCAGTACGTCCTGCCATGTATATATTCTGGGTGGATACCGTCACACATTATAGGTACATGTGTGGGATGATGCGGATATTTTCTGTGCATTCTCGGTTGTTCCTCGTCTAATGGCAGGTGGTTCCATCACTCTGGTGTTTCATGTAACATGACAGCTTTACTGGGTCTGCTTCTTTTTAGTGACAGAGTACTGGAAAATAACATTGTTTTGGCAGTGTCCTTGCTGTTGAACAATTGTAGAGCTCAAAAGGTCCCAAGTTCAATTGCTAGCATTTCCAGGCAGAGCTCTTGTCTGAAACTTTGGGTAGCTGCTCCCGGTTACTAGAGACAATACTGAGCATGTTTAGCCATTGCTCTGACTCAGTATGGCAGCTTCCTATGTACCGTATTTACAGCTATACAGGTTCAGTAGGTGATGAACAATCACTCCACTCTACCATGGTCAATCATTCCTAGCCCCAAAGCAGTGTCTGCCCATACCCTCAAGATCAAGATCTTAAACAGCTATTTCGCCAGCCAAGAGCCTCTCAGAAATCTTTCTCAGTCAGCACTAAAGCTCAAGCCACAGTTTGTTCAGATTCAAACTGTCCCTTTGAGCCCCCACCCGGTGATGGATGTGACATGTTAGAGGAGCATGGAGCAGCCATTGCTCATCAGAGTCCATTATCCATGAGGCAGGGTTGCCAACTGACCAGGGGCTGGGATGGCCTGAGCTGCTCCTGTACCCTTTAACAAAAATTCAACATGCAGAAATCGGCAGGTGAAGCTTATCAAAGGAACAAGATTAAAAGAATGTCATGGATTTGAGTGACCGTTTGCAATTCCAAGTGTTCCCTTTGAACCACTCTGAGAACTGTAGCTGCAGGAAGGGAACAGGGGTCTCCTAACAATCCTCAGCTCCCAGAATTCCTTGGGGGAAGACATGACTGTTTCAGGTGGTATCATAGTGCTTTAAAGGTATGAATGTGGACTTAAGTTGCCCAGAGGCAATCTATATATTTATGCCAATGTTTATTCAACTACTTAGAGGTGTGAGGGTCCCCCCCCGCCCCGTTAGGTGGCTCACAAGTTTTGTTAAGTAAATAAAATATCCTTTCCTCTTGCTTGCCTGCTCCACACACATACCCATTGTTGCTCCTCAGAAGAAGCGCTTTTTGACCCTTCTGATTCTTCTCCTAGCACTGACAGCGGCTATGAAAACAACGGTGGTGAAGTGGTTTTCGGAGATATCAACCACGATGCCTATGAAGGGAAGCTCCACTACATCCCAGTGTCACGCAAGGCTTACTGGCAGATCAAGATAGACAAGTGAGTGCCGCCATTTATTTCCTGATCTGTTTCTGGGATAGATTTATGTACCACTTAGTCATTCACATTTCCAAGATGGCGCACATAAAAACAAAACAATTAAAAGCCGCCATAGAACTGAACGCTACCTCAGAACACTTGCTGGAATGAGAAAGTCTTTTGTTGCATGGCAAGACTGAGACTAAGAAGGAAGAAGCGGATAGGCAATGCTGCCACCCCCTGCACTGGCAAGTGAAGGCTGGGTGAGGGCAGACTGAGGTTGCTGGGTAAAGTGCCACTCTTGCCCCAATGGACCAGCCTCTGCTGTGCATTATTGAACTGTCCAATTTTATAATTGGGTTTCCCCGCAAGGTCAATTTAGCATGCGAAAGTGGGTCAATTTTATTTTTATTAGACATTATATTCCATTTCTTTCTAACCAAATTAATTGTTTCAAGGGTCTCCCGCATTTTCAAATATTTTGATCCTAATATTGTCCAACCCACCAAAGATGCTGTATACGTATTCTAAAGTTGCCCAGGTTAGATAGTTAACACCAGATATAGGTTTCCAGTCTTTGGCACATGGCAATTAATAAGCACGATGGTATACCAAATCCGAATTTGGAGTTATTTATTTTTGGCAGAGATATTCTTGGAGTTGCTGAACTGCAAAGACATTTCCTAAACAAACAAACAAAATATTTTTTGAAAATATATTCCAGATATATAAACTGGAAGTCCTCTCAGAATATAAATTCTTGCACGAAGGCAAGAGTTGAGGGGTTTTTTCTACCCACTTTTGATTGTAGCCACACAAACACACTGCCCCCCCCCTCAAGCCATGCCTGCTGCCGCCAATATGGATTCCAGAAGACAAATAAACCAGAAATCAACTCCTGCTTTATTTAAAACAACCAGTGTTTAAAAATTCAAACAACAAACCATTAATTTTTTAAAAATATTGACATCCTGAATATGCAGTGAACAAAACACTTTTGCTGATGGTACTTGGGTGTAGACCTAGAGAATAGCACTTCAAGTCATCAGTGAATAATAGTTATAATTGTCAAACATATTTCAACCTTACAGCCTTCCTTGGTGGCATCAGTGTCTAAAATGGCAGATTTAGCTGCTTGGGAGTTTGATAAGATAATTCAGGCTTGCATCCATCCAAATTAATGTCCTAACAGTAAATATATAATTGCATTTCCATTACTCAGCATGACTGCAATAGCCCCCACCTGAAAAAGATGTTCTCAGCAAGGCCACATATCTCTATTTGCCATCTATGAGAAATGTTTGTGTTTAAAGAATAAATGTGAAGCCCAATGCAGGAAACACTCTACCCTCTGGACTCTTGGGTACAGCAGTCCTTTCCTCTCAGTGATGCCAAGTTGCAGTTATCCTGGTGGAGTTTTCCACCAGACCATCTGGGGAGTTCTGCTGGTGTGGCTTCATCTCTGCCAGTGGAGATACACAGCCTTTGCCAACCTGGTGCCTGGCAGATGTTCTGGACTACAAATCCCATCAGCCAGTGCTGGCTGGAGCTGATGGGAGTTGTAGTCCTAAACTTTTTGCAGGGACCAATTGGGGAAGGCTGCCTTAAGGATGCTGGGCTGGTGTAATTCAGATATAGGATCTCGCCCTTAAACCTGAATCGCATTCTGGCTTTTCCAGACAACCACTTTACAGAGCCATCTTGTTGATTAAGGATATGTTCACATTAGGGACTTGCGATGCGATGAGGGCATTTCCCCGCCCACTGCATTTCAAGTTGCATTAGCATGGTGTTGTTCACATCAGAGAGCGGGTGGGGATGTCTTCACCGGATGTACATGACCTTTTTGGTTTCCCCTGACAAGGTCAAAGCCACCATGGTGCAGCCATTAGAATGTCAGGCTAAGATCTCAGTGACCAGGGTTCGAATCCCCACTTTAGTCATGAAGCTCACTGGATGACTTTGGACCAGCCAGTCACTATCTCACAGCCTAGTCTGCCTTGCAGAGTTGCTGCAGTGGTAACATGTGTGCGTGAAGGGGAATCATCCGTACTGCCTGAGCTACCTGGCGGGAAGGTGGACTAGAGATCTAGCAATATAAAGATTTGGTATTCTCACCATAGTAGAGTATGAGTATCTAGCAAAAGAGTTCACCCCACATCTCTCTCTCTCTCTCTCTGTGTGTGTGTGTAATTTGCAAGCAATTGTTCTGATTTACATCCTCCCAAGGCAGCAAAAAAAAAAGCGTAATATTACAATAAAATATAAAATTAAATTTCAAAAATGCAAGAAATCAGCTATGCATTATTGAAATCTAACAACCAGTATAAAACCATTTCCAGAGCCTCAGTTATAAACCATGAGTTTTGAGTACCGTACTTGTGTAACACGGGACTGGCGTTCCATATGCTACCAACATTGCTGATGGTCCCGGGTTGTTTTTTAAGATATTCAATAGGTTGTTTGTTTTGCAAGAACAGCACTGACCACAAGAGGGCAGTGGTGCTGCATTTTCAACCAACTTTCCGATATATATATATATATACTGTAGTACTTTACTTGCTGCTTCTGTTTCCTGAGGTTTCTGCTATTTTTGTACTTTGCGTGTTCTCTTGGATATTATTTCTGTTATTGTTGTGGAGGCGTTTTTTATTGTAAGTTGCCCTGGAGGCAAAAAAGCTGAAAGATGGGAAATTAAATGTTTTCAATGAATAAATAAAAATAAAGATGTGCTGAGTGGAAGCGGAAAATTCCTCAATCCACGCATCACCTTCAGGGAAAAGTCAACCACTGGAAACCTGACATCAAGGACACTGCTAGGTCCAAAACAGACTCGGGACACAGACCCATGACCCAGATTTTGCCAATGGGCAAATTAAAACAGTGGGTGGTTGAGGTCTTAGGTCACATCCATATCCTACATTTAAAGCACTCTTAGACCACTTTTAACAGTCATGAAGAACCTTGGGAACTGTAGTTTGTTAAGAGTGCTGGGAACTATAGCTATGTGAGATCAGCTACAGTAGCTCCTAGGATTTTCCAGGCCTGTTAAAAGGTCTTTGGGATGCGGGTGGCGCTGTGGGTTAAACCACAGAGCCTAGGACTTGCCGATCAGAAGGTCGGTGGTTCGAATCCCTGCGACGGGGTGAGCTCCCGTTGCTCGGTCCCTGCTCCTGCCAACCTAGCAGTTCGAAAGCACGTCAAAGTGCAAGTAGATAAATAGGTACTGCTCCGGCAGGAAGGTAAACGGCATTTCTGTGTGCTGCTCTGGTTTGCCACAAGCAGCTTAGTCATGCTGGCCACATGATCCGGAAGCTGTAGGCCGGCTCCCTTGGCCAATAAAGCGAGATGAGCGCTGCAAGCCCAGAGTCGGCCACGACTGGACTTAATGGTCAGGGGTCCCTTTACCTTTACCTAAAAGGTCTTTAAATGTAACAGTATAGAGAGAAACAGCACATGAAATTTTTATGCAAGGGGCTCAGTGCAAAAAAACAAAACAAAACCCAAGGGCTCATGTCCCTAACAACACTCCCTGCCTGATATGCTAGTTTTCTTGGTGCGGAGGTTTATTTATTCAATTTGTGTGTGTAAAGAAGAAAGAGGAACAGCCCAGACACAGGTTCATCCACACCTTCTGCTGTTGGTGAGTACTAGATCTTAAACTGCCAATCCCAAGCTCTTTCAGCGGTGTGTATGAGTTTGGTGGTCAGAGTCCTCCTGCTCACTAGCTTCTGGTTGTCTGGCCACAGATGTGTCCTCTCAACTCTCATCAGGCCTCCAAAACACCGTGAATAAAGGTTGCCAACCACTTTCATTTCCCCTCTGTGTAGGATAACTGTGGAGAAGCAATCCAAGAGTGAAAAATGTTGGCCGTGGAGGCTGTTTGACAAGGACAATTCAACGAAGTTGTGCAAGGACAGTTGCCAAGGCATTGTGGACACTGGCACTTCTCTTATCACAGGGTCTAGTGATGAAATCAAAGAGTTGCAGAAGGCCATTGGGGCTGAACATATCATGGGAGGACAGGTAAGGAAGAGGCAACGTGTCTTGGATCTTTTAATGACCCATCCGAAACAACAACAAAACCTCCATACAGAGCCTTCCAAATTAACAAATCCACTGCTTGGTTCTGGTTTCATTGGCTTATTCTCTCTGCTGTCGATCTGTCGGTGTGATATCCCATCATACTCTAATGTGACCAAGAAGCAGAACTCAGGCTAGGGTTGTGCACCTGAAGGAGTGAGTTTATGCAGGACCATTTTCAGTGACCAGAGTCAGCAGAGGCGGGAAGCAGACTTTGTTCCTATTCCAATGGTATACCCAACATTCTTTTGCTTTCTTCCATATGAATTAGAAATCTTATTACAGTATTTGCACCTTAAAGTCCTGCACTTAAGAGGCCAGCTTTGCAGTGAGGCCAAAACCTGCCTTCCTTCCCCGACCCTGGGGCAATTCCTGACCACCTGTTTTTTTTATCATTCATCCTGATTTGCTTGCACAAAGCTTAGCATGGAGGTCAGGTTATGCCTGGTGTTTGTTGAGTGTTCTTTCTTGTTTATTTGCGGGGAGGTGATTTGACAAGGAACAGCATCAAACTGTGGGGTTCCCTCCTTTGCTCCACATCACTGACTGCCATTGGCAGGGAAGGTCGCCCTGTGATGATGCAACACACTGCATTTGGCTAAGGAGAGAAGATGCAATCCCAAGGATGCCATTTTCAGCGACAGCTCCTCATCTGCCATGGAGTCTAGTACCTTCAACCTCTGGCAAAACGTGGTGGTGGGAGTGAGTGGAGTTTGGGGTAAATGCCCTAGCATAGAAGAGGTGTGTTGAGAGAAGAATGGCTGTCCAATCTCTTCCCCTTCCCTTCCTCATGGCACTCTCCCTTTCCCCACCACAGTATGCAATAGATTGCAGTAAACTTCCTGAGCTACCAAACGTGACTTTTCATCTTGGTGGAAAGCCCTTCGCTCTGACACCAAAGGACTACGTTCTCCAGGTAAGAGAGACCAACACAAGACCTTTGAGGAAATGGTGGCGGCTTTAGGAGAGGGTTGGTTAAGATGATCCTTAGGATCCAATCAAACTACAATTCTATGATTCTATGACTGTAAAGTGTTATGATGGTGCATTAAGTGTATAATGCAGATGGGGCCTTAGACCCTAGGCAGTGACAGTCAGTCCGACTGGACAATACTGGCCCAGTGAACCCATGGGTCAGGCTCAGTATAAGGCAGCTTCCTATGTTCCTCAGAACTCCTGAGTGAGAGTGAGCCCACACCTTGTTCAGGAGTATAGGTGGGGGAGGAATTTGGTTAGCATTTTAATACACAACTCCCTATTTTGCAATTCTTGAAACAATATGTAGACCAAACACAGCTGCCTTTCGAAATCCGCAATTCTCCATCCAAATACTACATACAGAAATGTCCACATTTGGGGAAAGTGAGCATAAAAATGCACATGTTCATGAAAATAACATTCAAAAAATGCGTTACAATAAGCTAAATTGCTTGCAAAAATGTGTGTGTTGGGGAAATTTCCATGCAAAAATGAGAATAGCTGCACATTGCAGGGCATTGGACTAGATGATCCTCAGGGTCCCTTCCAACTCTACTATTCTACGATTCTATGAATATAGGGAGAAATTTCCACTAAATACTAATGAATTTTCATGAGGATCTTTCTTTCAGAGGTGTGGGGAATTGAATTTAAGATGGAAAAATGGGGGAAAGGGGAAATATTCAAACTGACAATTACTCAGCGGAAAGGACTATAGTGGCATTGCCTAAAGTCTCTAGAAGCCTGTAAGCCTCCCGCAACGGCCTCCCATTGAGCTGTGCTATTTCCCTCCCATCTTCACAGATAACCCAAGGAGGAGTGACTGTCTGCCTCAGCGGCTTCATGAGCCTTGACATTCCTAAGCCCACCGGACCACTCTGGATCCTGGGTGACGTTTTCCTCCGGCGCTTTTACTCAGTCTTTGACCGAGATAATGACCAAGTTGGCTTAGCTGTCTCCAAACAAACCATATGCGGTGCAACTACAGCTGCAGTAGCAGCTACACCGGCTCCAAAGGCCACAACTCCAGCTGCAGCCACCACGACCTCCGGATGTTAGCTGTCCAGTGTTCCAAGTGCTGAACTCAGGAACGCAGCAGGGTTGAGAAGTGGGGGGGTGGGGTGTATTTGCATAGCAGCAGGGATGGGGTTCCACAGCATGGGATTTGCAGTCACCCTATTTCTCAGAACAGCTCCTTTAAAAAATAATAATTACAAGTTTCTAATCCTCACGGTGGCAGAGGAAAAGATGATGCACCTTGGAAAGTCCCCTTGGAACTTCAAATACATTGCTGTGTATATCAAGTGTGCAGGGCTTCTCCCACCGAGTTCTCCTCTTCCATCCTCCTCCCCAGCTTGCTGATCCTATGCATGTCTACTCAGAAGTAATTCCGGTGAGGTCAGAAGGACTTTCTTCCAAGGAAGTATGGCTGGGATTGCAGCTTTTAGAGTCCTGTTTGCTACAGCAAATGCAGGACAGCCAGAGACAATGGGATCAACAAGCTGGTGGGGGATAATGCTTTCTTCATGTGACTTGATAGCTCACGGCTTGATGAGTCACCCTTGGATATTTAAGGTGATGTAACATTCTGAGCCCATAGCACAGGCTTTGTGCTTTGTGCTCAGAAGGTCCCAGATTCAGTCTCCGGCATGCGCCTAGCGAAAAAGAGATCTCAGTTATCAGGACTGTGTTACCAGATCTGCGAGTGCGTCTGTATGCATGCATGTGCAAACACGTATCCTACATGCGTATTCACAGAAAATCTAATTTTGTGCAATTAGCAATGCTACCCTTGGGAACTGTACTGGAGACGATTGTGTGTGTGTGTGTGTGTGTGTGTGCGTGCGTGCGTGCATGTGCATGTGCACGCACACACAAAATTGCTTTGCTTTCTTTAGCACCAATTTAGTGGTGACCAATAAGGATTCAGTATTAGTCTACTTGCTCCTGAAATATTGTAATATAAGTAGTGCAAATATTGCAATGCTGCAACTGTAATATTTATTCATAAAAGAATAAAGTCTGGAAGAAAATAACACACCAATATAAAAATGATTTTAGAAGCCACCGTCATTTCAGAAGCTTGAAATGCCGCTACAGAGACTTACAGGACAGAAAGGGTTAATAATGCTGGCAGTGGCTGATGGGAGATGTAGCCCAAAACATCTGGATGGCATCACCTTGGGGAAGGCTGCTCTTGTAGGTAATGCCTTCCTTTCTCCTTCATGAGATTGGTTCATAAGCCCTTGTGCATTTTGAAATGAATATGAAATGCTTATGCTTAGGATCAAAGCTCACCTAACATGGGAAGGTGCTTGGATTTGTTTTGCCAGGAGCAGCACTAGGGACTGATGAGGAGAGGGAGAGAGGCTTTCACTCTCTCACTGAGTACTGCAGCACTCCTCCCAGGCCCCCACTTGCTGTGGCATGCCACCCTATCCTGGCTGCAACATCCATCAGTATTTGCCCCCTGGATCTCAGCCGTTCCATTATAAAGTTCCCATGCCTCACTTCCACAGCTGCTGGGAATGCATGGACCAGGCCCGTAAGTGGCTCATAGCACGATGGAGAGGATGATCCATGTGGAGTTGGTGGCAAGTACTTCTGGACATTACAGAAGGACAAGCAGGGTGGCTTGTTTCTCCATGACGTCAATGTGCACTTCCCAAGGGGAACTGATAACGTTCTTAAGAATTCTTGCAACTTTTAAGACTCTTGCCCTGACATAGCATCTCACGTCCCAAGCAAAGTCAGAGTTCTTCTAGCTAAGTTAGCCTACTAAGCTTTTGTGTTTGTTTCCTAATGTTTCTAGTTGTGTTCTTGTTCTGTTTCCCAGCCCCGCAAATAAACACCCTTTGTTTAAGAAGTCCTGTTTTGCCTTGGATTACTGAAAAATCCTGGCTGGCCACTGTGTGTGTCTGTGTCTAATCCACATGATGCTATACTATACTCAGACATATGCTCTTACAAGGGTGAATTGATGTGCTCAGGACCAGCCAAACTGCACAACCTTCACAGTAGCTTGGCGGAGGTAACTGTTTTCCGGGACACCGATGAAGGGGGTGCAGCCATTCAGGAGGACAACAGTACAATATTTAGGGCCAGCCCCTTGATCACGTGGCAGTTGCAGGAAGAAACATCATCTGGGTCGCCTTTTGCAAAGTGGCAGTGGCTGCCTGTTATTCCTTGCGCAAAGAAAAGCAGCTGAAAAGCCCCCAAAGGCATAGTGAGAGATGATGAGGTAAAGAGAGAGATTTTTAAAACCCTGTCAGTTGGACGCACGCGCATACCAGCATGTTAAACAGCCTCGTTTGTTCTGCGAGACCCTGTTTGATCACCGGAAAGCATCTCTTCGCTGCTGTCTTGTAATACCAGGTGGGTCCCTGCAGTGCCTGACAGCCGTACAAGACAGCTCTCCCCAGCGCTCCCGACAATTCACTCTGTGCACCAGACGCAGGGGCTCCCAAGTTTAATTAGAATAATTGACACTTGTTTTGGAAATTGGCTAAATAATAACTGTACAGCATGCCAAGCTTGAAAGGAGGAAGAATGACATCAATGATGGGGGCAGGGACCGCCCTTTGTATCACACAATTTTGTTTTTTGTTTTTGGTGGGGGGGAAGGGTGATGGGAGTGGCAAAAGGGGATTGGGGAGCAAAATATACCGCACTCTGAAAGTTTGAGCAAAGAATGTGAATTCAAAGGGTGCAGATGTTGTATAGCTGACAACCAAAAGCCAGAGTGCTGGACTAGGACCTGGGAGACCAGGGTTTATATCCCTCCTCAGCCATGAAGTCCACTGAGTGATATTGGGCCAGTCATTGTCTTTCTGCCTAACCTTCTAGAGATGGTTGTTGTGAGAATAAAAGGGAGAGTGAGGAAAGTGCTTGCGCCACCTTGAGCTCCTTGCAGAAACAGGTGGGCTATAAATGCAGTGATAAAATAAAATGTTTTCTGATTTCTAAAGAAGGGGAAGCTTAACAGAGTGGGGTTAGTTTTAATAATAAGGACAGGAGGTGGATATTGGAGCACATTCTAAATAGTGGAGCAGTTCCTTCCACTATACTCACAGCTGGCTCCTGTGGTCCCAAAACAAAATATTTAGATCTCTGAATACCCCAGTAAGGGGTATAACTATACTACATTATCTTTTATTTTGGTTTTATGCCACAGCTTCCTCCCCCCAAAAACCATGGGAACTGTGGCTTGGTGAGTGTGCCAAGAATTTTCCATTAGAGATCCCTGCTCTGCACCACCAACACTACAGAACTACATTTCCCATGATTCCTGGCAGAGAGGGAATTGCTACTTAAAACTAATTTAAACCAGTATCATAGATATTGCAAATTTTTAAGGGAGTTTGTGACCACAAGGCATGGTGCTGACCTCTGGCTTAGAAGCCCTAATAGCAGGAGGATTGCCTGCATGAAGTATAGATAAAGGTGTGTCTGAGTGTGTGAATAAACTAGCCTGCTGTACAAAGGCAGACCCTTGCTCTGCCCAGTTTTGCCTCTTGCCCCGCCATGGCTGGCATGTGGCCCTTGGGAGGTTGCTCAGAAAGGAACTCAATGTGGAAAAGGCTCCCCACCCTGAGGCTAAGAGATGCTGACTGGCCCAGCCTCAGCCAATGGCTTCATCATGACGGAGAAGCGATTAGAACCTATGTATCTCTGCCTCAAGTCTACACTGGCTTTCACCACCTCCAAACACTATTTTAGAGTGCAGGGGCATATATATTAATAATTCTTTATTCAGGATGCTGCGTGAAATCAGGAACCAACTTCAGCACCATGTAGCAGCATTTCCCTGTACAGTGCTGGTAAACTCTACAGCTCCCAGGTCTACAACCCCTGACACACTGGGTAAGATTCCCATTACTGTCTCTTCTGCATGCTCAGCAACAGAGGCGGAGCTGTTGTTATTTCAATAGCAGTAGGAACACAGGAAATTGCCATATGCTGAAACAAGACCATTGGTCCATCCAGTTCAGTGCTAACTACACAGATTGGCAGAACCTCTCCAGAGTTCCAGGCAGAATACTTTTTTCCTGCCCTTACTGAAGATGCCAGGAATTAGAATTGGGACCTTCTGAATGCAGGGCATGTTCTCTGCCAGAGAGCTGCAGCCATTTCCTGTAGTCTGTAGCTGTGGTCACAGAACATGACTAGTGGCCAGATATCTATGGCTCTTTAAAGACCCACAGATTACCACCCATCTGTCTCAGAGGCTTGGGGCAGATTGCAGTCATCTTTATCTCATTTTTATCCTCACAAAAGTGCCTGGATTATTGTTGTGGGATGGGGATGACAGCTGATCACAACCGGCAAGCCAATTTAGACTGCACATACCCTTGCGGTTCACTAAGAAGGCAAAGCCACCCTATCAAATTATGCACCTGGCATGCAGGAGAAGGTGCGCCATCTTGGCTAGAGTGTTGGACAAGGACGGCAGAGGCCCAGGTTCAACTCCTGACTCTGCCACATATTTATTTATTACATTTATATATCACCTTTTCCTCCAAGGAGCTCAAGGTGGGGCACTTGGTTCTCCGCTCTCCATCCATTTTATCCTCACAACAACCCTGTGAGGTAGGTCAGGCCAAGAGACAGTGAGTGAAGAGACAGCCTGGAAGCTTGCTGGGTGGCCTTGGGCCAGTGACTCTCTCTCTCTCAGCTTAAGCTACCACGCAAGGTTGTTGTGAGTGAGAGCAAAATTGGGAGGGGGCCGCTAAGCATCACCTCAAGCTCCTTAGAGGAGAGGAGGGGTATAAACTTAATAAACAACTTAATAAACAAGTGAAACAACATTTCACCCTGAGATCTAAGACACAAGGGTGGTTCCTCTTTGGAGGCTCCACCTCCCCCAGCCACAGCTCAGGGGGTGCCATGTCCTCTAAATATAGACTTATTTCGTGCCTCCCACACACTTGAGATTTCGCACATTCCAGGCTAAATTCAACTCTTCCCCACTGCAGCTAAATCCCATCACATCCCCTTCAGCTGACTCAGGAATACCCCTCCCAAACTCACCTCAGCCTCTCAGCCCCACTTTTCTTTAAGGTGGCTGTATTTATCTTTACCTGTCCTCCCCCCCCCCTGCATCAGCCTTGGAATTTCATACTGAGTTTTCAAGTGAAGGGTGGCGCATCTTTAAAAACACCCCTCTCTGCTCCCTGGGTCTCCACAGGGTCCGGGGTGGCTCGCTTTGTTTATGTGTGTCAGGGAAACACGCATATGGCCCCAAACGCACGACCCCGCTGCTCCGTCGCCACTTGTTTACCTCCAATGCCGCGCACAGAGGTGGATGGGAAGCTGTCTCTTAGCAAACAATGGAGCTGTGGCTGCTCTAATCCTGGACTACCTTTCTTTGCGTATATTACTCCCCCCCCCCACAAAAAAAAAGGAAGGAAGGAAGAGGAACTGTTCCATGAGATGCCCCAAAATTCCACCTTAAGAGGCAGTGATGTCATCACGGGGTCCGCAGTACCAGAAGGCGCAGCCTGCATCCGGAGACTAGGGGTGGGGGGCGGGAGGCAGAGACGCACAAGGTGTGTGGGGGGGACAGACGGACAGACTGACTCCTATTCGTCGACATCCTGCATCTTCCTTCCCCCCCCCACCAAAAAAAGCAAAAAGCTCCCCATCATCCTCTCCATTCTCCCTCTGCTCTCTGCTTCAAGGGGTTTTCTCAGTCCCCTCAAGGTGCTGGGGGAGCTTCTTAGAGCCTCTGTCTTCGCCTCACGGGTTGATTTTTATTTTTTTTAAAGAATTTTGGTTGGGGGGAGGTTGGGGGTGAAGATTCCCCCCTCCATCTCTGCTCCTTCATCTCTTTCAAAAATATTATTAAGCCACAAGGGGTTGGTTTGGCAGGTAAGTATGGGCCTTCAGTGGCTACATTGTGTGTGTTTGTTTGTTTGTGTATGTGTGTGTACATCTATAGTGTGTGTTTGTGTGGTGTTTTGTTTTCCCCTGGGGCGGCAGTGGGGGGAGGAGGTGAGGGGGGATCTTTGAGTGTCCCCTTTTACCTAACACTGAGATCATAGGACAGAAGGAGGGGGGGAGTTTCAGCACCTGTGAGGTGACCGGCTGCATGTTAACATTGGTGTGCTTGTATTTTGCTCATTAGTGCCAGCCTAGCTGAGAGAGAAAGAGACAGACAGACAGACTTGCTTCTGATGGCTATTTGTCTGTCTGGGTGTATGTGTGTGTGTGTGTAAGAGAGAAAGATGACTGTCAGTTTGTGGATATTTGTGTGCTGCCCACTGCAGTGTGTGAATAAGTGAAGGATAGCTTTAAGTGTATATGAGGAAAGAAAGAAAGAAAGAAGGAAGGAAGGAAGGAAGGAAGGAAGGAAGGAAGGAAGGAAGGAAGGAAGGAAGGAAGGACAGTCTGCATGTCTGGTGGACATATGAGGGTGTCCACTAAGGTGTGTGAAAGAATGGTTCGAGTGTATGGGCAGTTTGTGTGTGCATGTGTATATATGTCTGGGACTGATAGATTATGACTCAGGCGGTGTGCGGCTTGTGTGGTATGTGAGCTTGTACGATTTCAACTGGTGCATGAAAGAAATTAGCGCGCCTAAAGTATGCCGACAAGTACCAGTTATTAGGATGTGCTTGTTCTAAGGGTCTGAGCGCATCTGTGTCCATGGATACAGGAGAAACAGGTGAGGATTTGTGTGCCGTTGCGTCTTTGTGTGGTGACTGTAAGTGTCTGTGGTGTCCCTTGGGCTTTTCTGTTGTGTGATGTCTGTGTTGGTGTGGTGCGCCAGTGAACTGGAGGGGGAGGGGTTTAGGAAGAGAGAAACATAACTCCCAAGAGAAAACAAACACAAACACACTGAC